TCTCACTCTTTATCAGCATTTTTAACTTCTACAAATTGTTTTCTCTGTTGCTGCTACCCCATCTGATGTAGGCAGAGGAAATCACACGCTCCTCAAAAGACTTATAAAAGATATGCATCTTGCTGCAAACACTGAAGGACCTACTGTTCCTCTGGAAGTACAGTCTGTTGTAGATGGCTTCACAATGGCATCTCTAGTAAAATCTGTAGTTAAGCTAAAAAAATGTGTTATCAAACCCTCTTCTTACAATGATGTTATCAGCTTTTGTCTTATTACAGTTACTTGTGAAATATGCAATCATCTCTGTTGCTCTGTTCACATTCAGGATCAGGTGATTGTTTCAAAACAGTACCACAACACGGTTCAACAGCTCCCCGTACTCAGCTCCTTTTCCATCTCTGATGCACCCCAAGACTGCAGAGATATCCAAGTGTTTCTGCAGATGACAGGACCTTGTTTTGCACTGGAAGTCAGAGATTTACAAAATAGAAATGAATGGAGAAAGTAAAGTACCCTGCGGTGCTCCTGGGCTGTTGAACACCTGGTTAGAAACTTCACCCTGTCTCAGGACACTGTGGTCTGTTTGTTGGCTAGACGTTGATCCAAGTGATTGTTGAGGTCTTTCCCTAAGTCTTCTGGAGACCATGATCCTCACAGTGATGTCTTCCTCTTCTTGGTTTGTCTATGCATGTGTATGATGGCATCTTCAACTCCAAATCTACACTAATAAGTAAGCTGCAGGGGGTTCTGATAGCTGCTTGTTTGCTTGCTCAGGTGGTTCTGCAGAGGTCCCCCAGGACCTTCATGGTGTAGGATATCAGGGCAACAGGTCCATGGCTGTTAAGGACTGTTGGGTGAGTTTCCTTTGGTACTGGAACAAGGCAGGGTTTCTGTCACATAACCGGAACTGTCTCCTGGCTTAGGCTAACGTTGAAGAGGTGCTGTAGAGTACCACAGAGCTGCTCTGCATAGGCCTTCAGGACTCTATGGCTGACACAATGAAGACCTAGTGTCCTATTCCAATTCATTCTCTCCAGCTGCCTTTTTACCTGACCTATGGGGAATCAAACGGAGCGACACTATCTGGTGATTTGGTTGCGCACAAACACATTGAAGCAGAAGGATATTTAACAGAGTTTATAGATTTGGGAGGGAAAAGGAGAGTGTGATGTGTTTTTGGCTACAAAGAAGGATGCTGAACTAAACTGAACCCACTGAGCTTGAGGAACCAGCTTAACTGGATGCCTATGGCTATAGGTCATAAATATACCTAAAATCCTCACCAGTAGTGGGGTTAATGTGTCTTCAGCTGCATTAGGGGAAAGTGGGAGCCAAAATCCATCTGTATTGTAATAAAGGAGCATTTGTTATCAAGGTGACCCCTCTTCCTCTGTCACCAATTTATGCATAAGGAGAGTAAATTAAAATCAGGCAGAGAGAACAGTTTAAGTTCATGCACATTGCTTGATTTACTATCACTCAATAGACACAAAGTAGGTCCTGAACTGTTTTATTCCTAATTTTTATTTTCACACAATCACATTAGGAGTTATTGAGGGTGGTGACTGGTGTCTGTTTGGTAGATCGGTTTTCAGATTGTCCCCTGGGGAAATAAAACCACCAGGCTGTTTAAGGCGGTCATTTACCCACTTCTCTAATCAGCTTGACTCATTTCAATTAAGATGATAATTCATTACTCATATGTAATTACAGTGAGACTAGCTTTGTGTTCACTAGATGGCGCTCTTTACTTGAACAGTTCCATCTGGTTTCTAAGCTTTGATGGCACAAGATCAAACACAGACTGTTACTGTTTTATCAGGCTGTTGCTCAACTTGAGATCTGTTGATTTGCTGTGAAAAGTTTCAGTGATGAGCTGCTTGGGACCATGATAAAACACAAGAAGAGGTTTACTCAAACTATGACCTGTTATAATACTCAACAGGTCTAAAAAAAATTAAAAAATAACAAGGGCTGAATAAAAAATAACCTTTACACACTTAAAAACTCAAACCACCAAGTATAGGTCAATCCAAAGATTCTTGTCTTGTAAATGTAACTACAAAACCACAGAGAATAATCAATGGTGGGGAAGGGTAAGGAGGAACAGGAAAGGAAAAAGGAAAGAGTTGAAGGAATAAAAGATATTGGCAGGGAACCAAGCAACGCAGGTGTTTGCCTAACAACAGGCTTCACTGACACATGGCACGCCATCTACAAGCATGGTCCGGCCTGAGCAGGAGCCTGGGAATATGGGAAAACAAACTAAGTCTACAATCGCAAACATACAGAGAATGACTGTTTGTGCACAGTTGTGTTTGCTATTTAATTTACTGTACAGTGCACCAAAAAACAAACAGACAAACAATATATATTCTTATAAAAGAATTATAAAAAAGTTGCCTGTTTTGTTGTTTTATATTGAATGCACAACAAGGGAACACAGCACAAACGGCCATGTATGGACACACACGATCACATTCCTAATAAGAGGAGATCAACAAACCTAACATGCATGTATTTGGAAAACGGAAAGGCGCACGCATGAGAAGAAGATGCAGAGGCCTGCTTTACTCTGTAGCCAAGGTACCAAATCCTGCTGCAAGATGAAATAAGCACCACAGTAAAACCTGTTAGTAGAGAGAAGCAAGAAGTGTTGTCATATTTTCTGGCTGCCCTAAGTTTGGACTTTATAAGACACAGAGGACAAACACCAGCAGATGAAATGGCACTCTAAATCATTAGTGACAGTAGAAATCTCCCACTAGACCTCAAGCAGCTTTGTGTCTGTTCCTCTTCATGCTTTCTCCAGACTCCCGAACTTAGATTTCTACATAAAATAAAGAGTTTAGTTTGATCTGCAAGTAGCTCTTTCATTGAGCAAAAGTGCAGTCATGTTTATCTCTTCAGTCTGTTGTTGCCTTTGGTTCAGAGCTTTTGATGAGATATGTGACAGTTAAATGTAGCCCATATCCTCATACATCTATGAGTGATCGCTGTTGGAGCTCTGATCCCACCTGCTGTCTATTTCTTTCTTTATCTCCATCAAACTCTTAAATGATCTCTGCTTCACAATCCTCTTCATTGCCTCTAAATCTTTTATATGACCCAATTTTTATTTCTACTTTCCACAGATCTGCATTGATCAGAAGTCTGTGAACAGCCAGCTTCTTCAGTAATGTGTGCATTGATGGCTAATCTCTCCGTGTGATGGGTGTTAATTACCCAATCAACTAACATTGCTGCATTAGAAATCTGTAATTTTTTTTTCAATCTTTGGTGCAATCCTTTTTTTTATGCAGAAACCTAATTTGGGATTTTCATTGGCTGTTAGCCATAGTTTTCATTGCTAGTTTTCATTGACATTTACATAATTAAACAAATGAATTACTCTGTTGATGACATTTGTATTTAATGAGAGTACTAAAGATGAACAGATTTAGAAATGAATAATAATAATAATTCCTTCTGGATTTCTTTTCCTCACTGATTTGGATTATTTCCTTTTTCAGCCTGAGACACTAAAATGAACTAAAATATTTTTAAACAAGGAATACTTATCAGATTTTCCTCAATGTAGATTAGAACTAATATTCAGACCTTTAAACAGGCAGTTTAGAATATGTATGATGGATTACTGATAACTCTTGGTTTGTAAGTGTTTGATATATATTCATAAATTTACACAGATTTTTCGACACTTTTTGAGAAATAAATCCCAAAATGTCTACACAGCTGCACAGGAGAGTAAGCCTATCAATTTAATCAGCTGTGCTTCATTTGTTTGTTGAAATATTTGAACTTTCTGTTCAGTTAAAACTTGCAGAAGCTCGTTGGTTTTTATCTCCATAGCATCAGAACGATTTAAAACCTTCTGCTGCTCAATGCAGATAAATAACTTCACTGCCTGAATGAATACAGACACATCTTTGAAGTTGTAATTATGCCCAAAGGCAACAGCTAATAGGCTGTGATTCCCCTTCAGTCAAGCTGACATGAGTGAAGCTGGACCCAAAGGAAGTGAGTTAAAAAGAGGTTATTTTAATAGGTTGTGAGTAAAAACAAAGAAAGACATCATCAGGAATGAGTTAGTATAATTGCATCAAAATGAGCAGTAACTTGTATTTGAATTAGGCTGAAAGCTTAATACAAAAACTGACACAATGAACCAGGACACAAAAATAGGAAAATGTTAAATGGTAATATGAAATATATTACACTTTTGTGGTAACGTACCCAACACTAATTCGGGATACAAAAAATTGGATCCAGTGTGTTTAGGGTTTTATGTGTTTGGATCGAAGGGGTTCCATAGGGGCTCTGGCCCCCGTTAGGCCCCCAACAGTTAACGCCCATATCTGTGAAAAAAATATTTTGTTGAACAGGGAAAAGAAACATGTAAGGCAAAAACACTTTTAGGCTAAACACAACAACAACAAAAAAACAACAACAGGGAAGTGAATAGAGAACTCAGCAGAAGTTCTGCATGGTCAAGGTTTTGGAGATAATTTGGGGATGATTTTGTGCACTAGTGCAGAAACCAAGGTTCATGAAGGGATGGCTGTAATTAGGTGTGGAAGAAATTACCTGGCCTGCAGACAATCCGCTAACAAAGGCACTTCTGAAAAAAAATATCAGGAAATCCTATCAAAACATCCCTAATTCATGCAGAAAGCCATCCCAGAGAAGCCAAACAAGGGAGACAAACACTATAGGCTATGGGATGTCACTCAGAAAAGTCTGTTTTATAATTAGGGGGTATTGCTTAAAATGGGATTTTTCCTGTCTAACTAAATGTTTTATTATTATTTTAATTTTAACCTTGTATTTAAAAGCATTCTCTTTAATAAGAAGGATAATCATTGCATTTCAACAAGGGGCCTACACTTTTAAATTTACAAGCCATGTTTCAGATAAGATCCTTGAAGAGTTCAAAGTTAGTGCCGTTTTATTTTGAAAGGCCAAACCGGAGCGCACTCGGATTCCTCTCGCTTCTAACCGCAGGTCAGCGAGAAGAACCAGAGAGCCCAGTTCGGAGGAGAGGATGTGGGGATTGCTGACATCTGCACGTCAGCGGTTTAGCTGCAAGAGGAACACAGGCAGACTGACTGAAAACTCAACTTCGAGGAAACTTTAAGACATGTCACCTTTCTGAGAAGGTAAGCCGAGCCCGTCTGTTCCTTTAACAGAAACAACTTTTTTATTGTTTCCCTGTCACCTTCGGTATTTATTTCACTTTTTTCCTGTTAAGGCCGTTTAACTTGTTTTTTTCTTCTTTTTATTATTATTAATATCTTAACAGTTAAACGATATAAGGAAATAAGTTAACTTTTTCTGGAAATTGCTGCGAATTGCGGTGGAAACTAACTTTACGCTTCCGCGTCATTGCTGCTGACGATCAAGGTATTTTCAGCGATTATTGTCGTTACCAGAAAATCACATAAAACAATAAAATAAAAGCCTTTAAAGACAGAATTGTTTCCCTTTTCCACCTTAGTCTGAGACTGATCGGAACAGTGATTTAGGGTGACGGATCTCCGGACCTGTTGCTGCGCTGCGCTCTCATCGCGCAGTCGGTCTCTTCCTATTATTGCACCAGCAGCACATTTTCTTTCATCTAATGCAATGTGACAAATGTCAGAATAACAGTAAGAGGTGGATCTGATCATTACATAGGGGGTGCTGAACTCAAACACTTGTAAGTAAGATTATTTGCCATTATTTGCAACACATATCACTTTCTTTTTTGTTTATCTTAATATATTTGAGAATTTATTCACTTAATTTAAATTTTTTATTAGAGCAGGACTTCCTTTAAATATTCATTTTCTTTTAGAGAGAAATCAGCTCAGATCTGTTCCTCCAAGAGTCTTTTAAAAAAGTGAGGCACATGCCTTCCTGTCAGCTGCTGCTGCTGGTGCAACCTGTTCCACTGGTGCTTCTTTTTGCGGATATGACTCCCTCTGTAGTTGTTTGTTTTATTCTCCTTGACTGATCAAGAATAAAGTAGCTGTGCACTCATGATGTGATGCATAGTGCTTCATCTAACCAGTAAAAGCAGATGTTTCTGTGTTTGTGTGTGTGCAGGGGGAGGGGGGATTGCTGATGTTATGTCGTGAAATCCAAAATCGAGGCCTTCAATTTGTTCTGTCACAGGAAGCAAGTGCAAATGTTAACACATGTCTTTTGGTTTTACTGACATTTGCACTTAATTAAAAAAAAAGAGAGAGAAAAAAAGTGGGTCAGGATTAAAGCTGCATCCCACTGCTCTCTTCCAGAAAGCTCCCTGGTGTGGCTATCAGATTCAAAGAGAGGGTGGAAGGTGTGATGGACGGCCAATAAAAGGGGGTTTTGTTTGCAGGCGTCTCCATTTTGAAACCTCAGGAGTCCAGAGTCCTCTGGCCAGAGTCCAGACTGGAGTGAAAGGGCTGTGCTGCTGCCTTAAAGGAGTCAGAGAACATTAGGCTTCGTTTGTATCATGCTTCAGTCGTCTCTCACACAGCAGCCTTAGGAGTTTTTAAACATCTGTTTACAGCTTTTAATATAAAGCTCCAATAGAACAACCAGTTCTAAGAATTAAATTAGACTTTTGTAGAGGTATAAAACCCCTGGGCTCGTTTGTTTGAAAAAGGGAAGCCCTCTTGGGTTGTGCAGTGCGTGCATCACAGCAGTAAATGCCATCCCTCTTTAATATAATAGTATAATAATTGTATTGCATAATATTAATGCAATACAATTATGGGATTACTTTCAGTTTAGTGTCAACCTATTAAGTGGTCCATTTTTAAGATATGCTTCTTTTACACTTTAATTACTTTGTGTTGTTTTTCACAAACTAGGGCTAACCACGTTTTTTATGATTAGCAAAGGATTTTTCATTTTCCATATATTTTTATTTATGGCTCTGAAAGAAAAGTCAAAGAGGAACCATGCATGAGGTCCATTTTAAAAACAAAATCTAAATTCAAATAAAGTTTTAACTTAGGTGTGACTCTACAATTACATTAAGTCTGGGATTTAAGGGATTTTTTTATTTTGAAAGAAAAGAGTTGCAGAGGTTGAAGGTGCAATCTTTCATATTTGGTAATCTGGCAGGCATTAAAGAACTCCTTAAGAAAAAAAAAACAAAAAAACTTGATCATCAGTATGGACCTCATGCACAACATCAATACAAACACTTTGTAGTAGCTGCATAATCTCACAGCAAAACAAACAAAAAATCCAACTTTTACTTTGTGAATACCTCTCAGCTTAAAGAAACACATTACCTTACAAGTATAACTTAAATTTTAAACTTCTACTTTATATTATAAGATGCTGAGAGTCTCAAGCCACATTTTCAAGAGGCAACAGAACATGCCACTTAAGTTAGAAAAATGTATGTTGATCTGCCTAAATCAATCACAGCCAGTATTAAAATGGACCAAGCTTAAATTTTCTTAGTATACAGTTCAAGCAGTAATCTTAAAAAGTTTAAAATTGCTTGGATCTGTAAATCCTGTTGCCATGGAGCAAGTAAAAAAAAATAAATATAGGGAGTATGTAGGTAGAGTGGTAGTATTTTAATGAGATCAGGTGAGAATGAGGTTGAGCTTTTAGGCACCAATTGTCCAGATGAGTCTCTTGTAATGCACCAAACTAGGTTGAATAATATATCTTCCAGTTCAGTGGGAACGTCTAATGTTTTGTAAAAAAGAATAAATAAAAAGTATCTGCTTTAATGGTCTAAATCTGTCTGCCGGATGATTCTACTGAAATAGACAATGAGCTTACTTTTACATATTTACTTATAAATCTAAACGTGCTCATAAAAAAATTAGTTTTAAATAGAAAGATAGGATCTTTTCTCGGATACAACCTAAAGCCTGTGAAGTGCTATTTAGTACTCATGCTGGCATCAACTGCAACAAGAGCCACCTAATGATCCCTGTTGGGGAAAGTGTGAATAGGATGATTAGAAACCTTACGTGATGCATCAGAACTAAGCTGCTTTCTTCCATTTATTCTTGATTTTTTTTTGGAGCCTCGCTGTGAGGTCCTGTGGTTCACACTGCATCAATGTAATGAAGTTCATCTGGCTAGTGAACAGTATTTCTCACTGGGGTGTATCGCACACTCGATTTGTTCGGCGCATAGCTGTAGTCGCTACCATCATTCAGCCTCTTCCATCTGTGCAGTTTCTGTTTAATAACACTCCCGCCGCCAGCGTGCAATTTCGTTTATGGTGTCAATGTTGATTACTGCTGGTCGCCTCAGTTTCAGCTGTGTCTCCAGGGCATGTGTGAAATTAGGAAACATCATCTTTCTTGGGTGAATATGTTGTTGTTGTTTTTTTTCTTGTTTGTTTTTTCTAAGTGACAAAAGTAATAAAAGTGTAATAAGATTTTTTCTTTCCATCAGATGATTGTGTCCTGACGGACACCCTAAAAGCTCAGCCCGTCGTGGTGCTCGTCGTCATGAGGGGGCGCTGCTCCCGAAAGCTGGGCGTGCTGGCCAAGGCAGGCGTCTTGCTGTGGCTGCTGTGGCTGGGCTATCTACTGCTGGAACGAGCCTCTTTCCCCTCGTCTTTCTCTACAGATGAAGATGAGGAGGAGCACAATCTCCAGGCCAGGCAGCTGGTTATAGAGGAGAGCGGTATAGACGGGGAGCTGGCCAGGCCGCTCTATATTAAGCCACCGCCTGATAACAGTGCACTAGGGGAGTGGGGTCGGGCCACTCACCTCACCCTCAGTCCTGAAGAAAAAAAACAGGAGGAGGAGACTGTAGAGCGCTACGCCATCAACATTTACGTCAGTGATAAGATCTCCCTCCATCGGCACATCCAGGATCACAGAATGAATGAGTGAGTAGGTTGAAATACTAGTATCATCATTTAAAATGTTCTCAACAGGCTGGTGATTAGAGAAAAGTTTGGCCACATCGAGTTAAAGTTGAACTCGAAGGTTAGAGGACATATTATTTAGCGCCGCTATGACCATTTGATTCAGCATTGGTAACAAGGGGGGCGCTTAGCATTTCCTTTACTATAAGGAAACCATGTTGTTCCATAAATGGACCAAAGACAGAAAAAGGAGAAATTCCTAAGTTAGCAATGAGATACCATCCAACGGAAGTTTTCATCCCAAAAGAAAAGTATTCTCTTTTGTTAAATCCTCACATATGAGGAAAAAAAAATATGTTCATTAAGTTTGTGAGAGAAGATCAAGAGAGAGCAAGACTTTCATTGAATAACAGGAAGGCTGAATGAAGCCTTTGTAGTTTTGAGCTCTACCACAGAAATCCTTTGGATTATAAAGACATAAAGTAAACACCATCCTCCTGGAAAATATTTACCAATAAAAAATACCAAAGCTTTAAACACCCATTATGTAATCATTTTGTTTTTAATTCAAGATAATAAGAAATTATTCTCTTACACACGCATGGTGTGACATCTCCTCTACTTTTAATTTAAATAATTAATGACCAATAAGCATTAACACCTGGCAGGAAGCTAAAATCTAAAAATGCCCTTAATGTTCTTGTATCATATACAATTTTTGTTGTTTTTATTTAATATAATATGAAACTGGAAACAGATAAAGTTGCTATTAGTAGGTCAAAGCCAAGGAAGCTCAGATTGTTGCATCTTTAAATACAATAAATACTTCAGTTGTTAAGTTCCCTTAAGGCCAGATGGGGACTCTACAAAGGAACCTGTGGTAAAGTTTGCTTGTGTTTTGGTCTAAATCTATCTTTCGCTGTTGTCCTTTTCTCATTGATAGTTAGAAACAATGCTGAGATCTTTCCAAAAAAAGTTTTTTAAAGCTGCCTGAAAGTTGTCTGAATGGTTTATTGCATCCTGCGCTATTATCAGCTCCACACCTTTGATGAAACACGGAGTTCCACATCTCGTATAACTAGTTTCCTCTTCCGCCTTGGCTTTATGCTTCACTGGCTTCCTTCACCAATTAAAACCCAGATGTAGATGGAATGAGTGCTAGAGTTCCCCTTATACTTAGATCTCACTCTCCCAAAACTTTGGTGGCCTTATGTGAATCAGAAATCAACCACTCTGCCAACGCGATACCTGCATAACTGAAAAATGGACTGAAAAGAAACTTTGATCACTTTGTCAGTTAGAGGAACGTATGTGGGAGGTTCAATTTACAGCCTGGCCCACTTAGTGACACAAGAGATATCCTTATCAAATGCAAGCAGTAGTTCTCAGGAAACAAAGAATGGCTCACATGTTGTCAAACTGCGGAGTAACCGGTTGGCAGGTGTCATTTTTAAAATATATTTGTATATCTGATCCAGATAACCCAGTAAAAATGATACAGCTGAAAGAAAAATGCAGGAATGAGCCAGAGTACAGGTTTAGCTTCTTGGAGTTCCTAAAGTGCTCGTAAAATAACTGGGGCGTTACAGAAGGCAAATAACCTTTCTCACGTTTTTAGTTATTTTGTGAACAATAGGTGGACTTATTTCCTATAAAGACTTTGTGAAATACTTTGCCGAAACTGTGAAAACAATTATTAAAGTGATAAAAAAATATACCGGTATTTTCATAAATTGCCTTAACTTTACTGTGTCTTTTGTAGAACTTTGTTTTCAACCTCTATTAAAATACCAGGCTTTTTAATGTTATACTAAGGCCTTGTTACTTAAACTTAAATCTTAAAACTTAAAACTTAAAACTTAAATCTGTGAGTTTAAAAAAAAAACAACTTATCTCTCTGAAATATGACAAATGAATGGTCTTAGAATGATATTTGTTGAAGCGTCCCTTTGATTAAATTTCATTATTTTAGTTTCCTTTGGTAGGAATCTATCATCCTGCCGCATCTTAAACTTGCTAATATTTTCCCATACCTGATAAACAAGCACCTCCTGTCCATGGTCCTCTCCATTTGATTCCATACATTTCATAATTTAATCCACCTACACACAAACAGCAGTTTAACTGAGAGAAAAGAAACTCCACAGCATAATTTTTTTAATGGAATATCTAGATTATTTTTAAATCTGTCCTCGAGTTGTTCAAGACTGCATTCATTTGGCAAAGAAAAAATATTGATTGAAAATCTAACTTGTACCCTTCCAATAACTTAATAGGAAAATTTTTCTTATGACAGATTTGTTTATTTTTTTTTAAAGTTTTATTGATCAGGGTTAATGGTGAATTAAGGCTTTGACAGATTTTGAAGTACAATGGTGTGAAACGTTGAAAATCAATAAATATAAGTCATTTACCGCATAAGATTTTCCATTAAGGAATCATTTACCAGTTAATATTTTAAACCTTCTAAGATTGATTACCACCATAAAGTGGTAGAACCCTGAAACTCTGGTTAAAGGTCAAGGCGTCTCTAGAGGTTAAAAAGCAGTAAATGCTGCTGTAATAGTGCCACTTAGCATTACTTACTGCTTAGGATTTTACCTTCAGAGTGGACGTCTCTGCTAGAAATGGCATCATACTCAAGCTAAACACGTTCCATCATGGCAGGTCAGAAAACCAGCTCTGTCTGCTCCACGGTTGTTGTTGCAGGCAGCAATAATTCGTAAGGATATGATGCAGGATGTTTACAGGTTCCATGCACAAACATTGGAAATGTTGTGCATATTCCTCCAGAAGCTGGAGGGGGAATTGCATGCATGAGTTAATGAGACCCAAACAGAAACAAAGGTTATTGCTCAAATTTATCAGCTACTGTCATCACCTTAGCAGTTTTTGTTTGGTGTTCACCTTATTATTTGCACAATTTTTATTGGTTAGACAGTTATCCTTCATCTGTTTTCTAGTATTCATTAGTGGATTAAACTCGCTTCATATCACGTCTGTAAAGAGACCACAACTCCCCTTTTCTCTCTACAGTAAATCCCTCATTTTGTTCTCATTTTCGGATCCTTCAAATTAAATCATTTCACATTTTTTATCTTCGCTTAGTTTTATTCCAGTTTCCTCTGATCTTTTTGACTCTTTTCATCTCTGTTTGTTCTCATTTCTGTGGTTTCTCCCACAGTACTGCTGTGGTATGTTGCTTACCCCCATCCATATTTCTGCAACTCTTTATAGTTTTAATGACTGCCATCTGGATTTAGACTAGACATACTTTTCTTCCAAGCAAAGTTGTTAAAAAGGAAAAGAAAAATCATTGAGCTTGCTGATATTCTTGTAAATACATGCTGAAGATGTGCTTTACATTAATGCTTTGAACCCTGTCTTCCTCCTCACCCATGTAAACACACGCATACCTCAGATGCCGGACTAAGAAGTTTGACTACCGACATTTACCTACCACCTCTGTGATCATAGCCTTCTATAATGAGGCCTGGTCCACTCTATTAAGGACTATACACAGCGTGCTGGAGACCACACCTGCCATCCTGTTGAAAGAGATCATCCTGATTGATGACTTCAGTGATCGAGGTCTGGAATACACACACACACACACACACACAAAGAAAAAAAAATACACTGCTCGTTTTTCATAGATGATGGAGGACAAGAAATAACTCTAAATTGAATATGACTCGCAGAAGTCTCCAAACCACAGAAACTTTTTCATATTTGGAATCACACAAACGTTCAATGTATGCTGTTTAGCCTCCATGGGGTACACTCACACAGAATACTTCATTGGTGTAGAATGGCTGATAAATAGAGCATGTCTGTGAGGCCAAGAGGCAGCAGGGTAAAAGGCAGGGTCAGAAACGGTCAGGTACAGTTAAGCATCCACCTGATGCGACACATAGACTCATGACGTATAAGACAAAGGCTTGGGGCTCAAGTTTTTAGATGCCTAGTGCGCGCCAAAATTTGATTGCACAGCTGTGCAGTTGGCTACAATTTCTCTGTTTTAAAACGATCTGATCTGGAATAAAATCCATGAAACTTTTTATTCTTGTTTTTAGTTATGTTTCCAGACTCCTAAGTATTAAGTTAAAAAGTGGTTAAACTTAGTAGGACAAGAATTGGAAGGTAAACTCCAAGGCACTGACGCCTTTAAGGCTGATTTACACTTTGAAACTAGGTCCTCTGCGTAGGTGTCGCGGTGAACGCAGAGACGTTCCCGCCCCCCCTCCGCAGACACTCTGCTGCACCTCTCCCAAATTGTAGGTGACCACTGTCAGTGCCGCAGACAGGAGGACTCTGATTGGTCAAATCTACATCAGCTCTACACTATGCGTCTCCCATTTGATACCTTACCAGCGTGTTTTGTTTGTATGACCGCAATTGTGGAAAACGATTCATGAATTTTGATCAGCTAGAAGTGCGAGGTGCGCGAGAATGCTGGGACCGTTTTTCTACCTGGATCCCTGCTTTTTTTCGTCCTCATGTCCCGCTGTTGTTGGACAAACTTGCCCCCATTTCCTCTCCACCTCGGCCGTATCTAGACCCACAGCTAGTTCCTGATTGTCCCCTTTTGCGTTGGGGTGTGGAATAACAGCGCAGACCACTATTCAATATTGAGCATAAATCAAAAATGTCTGCGTCATACCTGCGACAAGCTCACTGCAACACACTGCTGCAGGAGTATAACCAGTCCTTTAGAGGGCAGTAGCTTCCGTTACAAGCTCAACTTAAAAAATGCTTAATAAATTCAAAATGTGGCTAAAACAAGTAATCCTCCTGTAGTGGTCTGTCTTGCAGGAGGTTTGGGGAGGACTCTGACCACACACTCCATTGTTGTATGATGCTTGATGTTTGTAATGTTCTTCATTCTGAAGACTTTAGTGTAGCAACTATTGTTCTTTGAAAGCCTTAGATCTTATCTTATTCATAAACATTAGTAAACCAACAGCTCCGTTCAGATCAAAGATCACTGCAGACAGGTCAGACTTTACCTATCTGGGCTTTATGGAAGAGATGCAAGAAAGACTTTGCTAAAAGGCCTTAAGATGTCCTGTATGTATTTGCAACAAATCCACTACGGGACACAGAAACTATATTGAAGAAGAGGCTTTGGTCAGTTTGCACTGAAATGTTGAGGTTTGACCCCCAAGCTGAATACTGTGTAGTGGAAATTCATATCTACACAATCCCGCGGTGGTGGGGATGTTTTTTTCAGATGGACCGTTGAAGTTGGTCAGAACTGAGGGGAAGATTAATAGCACTACAAGGGCTACTCTGAAAGAAAATCAACAGTATTTACAGCAGTACAATTAAGCCTGGAATGGAGTTTACCTCAGACCTCCCTTCATAGTTTTATAAAATGTTGTCTCAGGGAACAAAACAGGGAATATGATACTTTAACAAGGCTCTAAATCTGTCAAATAACCTACAAGACTACCTTCTTAGACAAGTTAACAAACACGTTTTTCTATAGAAACATTCTTTAGAATGGGGCAGCACCTTTAAAAAAACATTCCATGGTGTATTTTTGAATAGAGCAGCTTTTGCTAAGTTATTTTATTTACTGCAGCTCTCTGCTCCGGTCTCAGCTCGTCCTATTCTTTAGCTTCATGCTTGTGCAAATTTGAGGTTTTGTTTTGATAGTGGTCTCCTATTTCAAATCAATTAAATGACAAAAAGTAAAACCTCCCTTCTGAACATTCCTCATGTTGGGTGGAGTATCTGAGATATAATGGCCTTTAGCCTAGGTGATTTTAATAGAAGCTTTCGGCTTCCACACACGGATTTCATCAGTGAATGGAAGATCTGCTTTCAGCAGACGTGTTCTAACTCTGGGAATGATACGACTCCATGTCAGAAACTGGATATAGAAAGAGCTAGATGACTGCCTGTCCTGGTCTAGTCTGTCAGAGACATTACACCATAATGATGACTTCAGTGAGCGCTGAGCTGCTATGACATCATTTCCGCTTCTCTAACCAATAACACCAAGCTAAATGCTAGACACGCCACTCCCTTACCCCCCCCAAGAAAGGAAAAATAAATTACTGCAGGAAGAAAAAAAATTATTTTCCTGTGACGTTTAATCCTACCCAGCAGGTTCAAGGTTACTGGAAATGTATGTTTTCCTCTCGTTTCTATTTTACCCAGCCAGGAAAAATGAAAGTAACCCTTTCATCTCTTTATTTTTTAAATCAGTATTGGCACTTAAGTCTCATTCCATGTGACCCATACAAAACAAGAACAGTTACAGTAATGGCATTTTCAAAAATCATCTTGGATTAGTCCTTGGCTCTTGAATCTCTTGAGCTTTTGGACATGCACAAATTAGTTTCCGGCTTATCTTGGATCAACTAAAACTGCTCATGAAAGCATGAGTACGAAAGGATCCAATTTGATCTCTTCTTGTTTTGAAGATAGACATTTTTTTCAACTAATTGTGCATCATTTGAGCACTTAGAGAAACTAAAGCAAACCCATCATTGTAAAATTAAGTTGGTATTGATTTCTTATTCTTAGCTTTCTGAAGGTCTTTTAGAGATGAAAAGCCAGTTGGGGATTTTCAGTTGCATGGTATTGTCAGTTTTCTTTTTATTTTTAGCATATTTATTACACAGTGTAGAACATAAAATGCTAAACTCAGAGAAGAGTCATGTATAGTTTTATGTTTGAAAATGACAGTGCAGATACATAAAAGAAGCAACTTCTTTTATGTATCTGCACTTCCGTTTTTCTTATGAGACCAAACAATGATTTAGGATTGCAAGGTCTAAAAAAAAAACGTGATGTCAGTATGGATGAGTTATTTTCTAATTTTATTTTCTAGATGATTACATCTAGAAAATAATTTCGCCAAACTAGTTAACTTGAAAAACCATTCACAGAACCAAGAACAAAAAGTCTTCATTGTCATTATGTGTCCATAATACTATTTTACTGAGTCACAAACAAAGTAACATTATGAAGTTGTCATGTTCTTAGCACTTTTGGCAATTTTAAAAGCCGTGGTGTACTGGGTGTACTAGTATGTTTTGTTCTCTATATGGGGTTCTCATATGGATATTGGAACTTTCTGCACCTCATTTGTCAGTTTCAGCCTTGTTGTATATGAAGAAACAGCATCTTTATACATTTATATGCACATTAGTAAGACAGAAGGGAAAAGGATTATTTACCTGGTACATGGCGCTCTTTACATATTTTTGCTGCTGCAGCAAGGAGGAAATGTACACAAAACATTAAATCTGTTTTATTCGTTAAGCTGTCTAGACTGACCACATCAAGTTTTTGGAAGTCTGCGGTTAATTTCCTTTTGGAGCTTTACAGCTGGCAGTGGTTTTACCCCATTTCCCATCAAGGCTTAATACATTCAGCTTTTAATCTAATTTGAATTGCAGACTAAGAATCTCTAACTTTTCTTTGGTATCTCAGTAATGAGCTTATGTACAAGGTGAATGCCCATCTGCTAAGCTAGGAATCCAATTTCCATATGCACATTCTCACCTTCCATTGCAAGTAGCCTTTGTATTTATTGATGTAGGAAGCGGAGATTATAGATTGTTTGTTGCAGCGTTTTGGTGGGATCTTTTTACTTGAAGCTAAAGAAGCTGCAATGCAGATATCCACTCAGTGTATTTTACCAGTTTTTTCTCAAATTGACCAATGGCCAGTGGATGTGAAACAATGCATCATAGACGAGTCACCACTGCAGTACCTCAATCCTTAACCATAACATGTTGATAAGAAAGTTTTACAGCATGTTTAAGATTACAAGGAACCTAAAAGTTATTTGATGTGTAAAGGGGAGGTCACAGCATTCTTTATGAGCCTAAATTTACCATCTGTTCTCAGCTTGTTTTGAATTATATTGTTTAGTCTTAGTTCAGTGTAAAGCAAATCTATTTTTTCTTTTTACCATCTAATAGGTAAAAGAAGAACCTGAAGGTACAAGTAAAGCCATTCTTTGCAAGGCTCTGTGAAATCTAGACTGGTCCAGGGTCTGTTAGTTTATTTTGAGACAACAAACTTTTCTTCAGTTAGGTACTTACATTTAAATTCTAAGAAATGTTCCTCAGAAGGCTCGGGAAATGATTACTCAAAACCTATTTTATAAGCTACAAGGACATCCATCTCTTTAGAGGCAAAATGCAGAGAGTAAATGATGGAAGTTCAAGATTTAAGTAGGGTATTTTATGCTGTTGAAATGGCTAAGTGTCTGGTTTTGTTACCTTTTTTGCCTGCAAGGAGCTGGAAAAGTATTAATGCAACTCAAATAGGGTATGATAAGTAAAGACTTGAGTTTGGTGTTCTATGTATGAAATGTTGCATCCAAAGGTGGAGAGTTACTTTAGCAGTAAATGTTGGGTTTTGTTTACAACAGGCTACCTAAAATCCCAGCTAGCTGAGTACATCAGCAATCTGCAACGCGTGCGGCTCATTCGCACAAACAAAAGGGAAGGGCTGGTACGAGCACGACTCATTGGCGCCACCTATGCTACAGGGGATGTTCTGACATTTCTTGATTGCCACTGTGAGTGTGTTCCGGGTTGGATCGAGCCTCTGCTAGAAAGGTAACAAGTCAAGCTATTTAGGATCTTTCTAAGGAACACAAAGAAAAAAATAATTCTATTTATATTTAATGCCAAATGGCATCAAACAATTATTTAGTCATGTTTTTTTTGGTGTGCGTGTGTTTAGGATTGCTGAGAATGCCAGCACCATAGTGTGCCCTGTGATAGACACCATCGACTGGAACAACTTCGAGTTCTACATGCAGACAGATGAGCCGATGATCGGAGGCTTTGACTGGAGACTCACCTTTCAGTGGCACTCTGTTCCTGAAGCGGAACGCAAGAGGCGAAAGTCTCGTATTGAGCCCATCAGGTTAGAGCGAAGGGTTTTTCAAAGGTTTATAACTGGATAAACAATTATCCAATAAGATTAACATATAAGAGGACAGAGAGGATTTTTATAATCCCACACAAAAAACACTAATTCAGAACAGATCTAATTTCACGACTTTCTTGTTTTCCTTTCTGCCAACAGGTCTCCAACAATGGCAGGTGGATTATTTGCTGTGAGCAAAGCCTTTTTTGAGTACCTTGGCACATATGACATGGGAATGGAAGTGTGGGGTGGAGAAAACCTGGAACTCTCCTTCAGGGTGAGCATATTTTTCAAAATCACAGGGTAAACATCTATTATTATAAAGGTGAGGTTAGGTTAGGAGTATAAATATACTGGAATCTCATTAGCAAAGAGGCTAGATTTTCAACCAATACAGTCAGAACCACAGGTTTCATATCCACCTTTAAACAGTTTTGGTAAGATATGATCCAGACATTAATTGTTAGGCACAAATAGTTATTTTAAAGAGGCAATGGTCCCTGGTATGCAGCCAGTTTAGTTACAAAGAGGTGTAAGGACAGTAGTGCAGAGTCTTGTAGTGACCATCACAAATCCCTGATCTAGTTGCATAAAAGATTTGCTGGAAGAACTGAAATTTGGATCCCAGGAAGGTAGCCTTTCAATCCGACCTGGTTACTACACTTCTGTTAGCCTGACGTAGTCCTACTCAATTCTAGTCAGAATATGAGTCTGATACTGCTCCATAGAGCTGTGATTATGGGGCGTGTTTCGAACGAACCAGGAAAAAAAATGCCTCTGCACTCAATTGGATAGACCTACAACCAATAAGAGCAATGGAGTGCGTGACGTATGTTAAGCGAGGCATAGTTGTTGTCAACAAAAATCAAAGCGTGCAGTTGCACGCCTAGAATAAGAAGATGAGCCTCGATTGCGTTTCTCTGTTCCTCTTTTAAAATTAATTTGCTGTCGGTATCTTCTAGAACAGACCTAATAGCAGAATCTACACACCTCAACTCTCCAGCGGCAGCCATTGTTGTTGTCACCCAAGCGTGCTTTGGTGACTGATTACGTTACTGTTGATCATCTGTCCATCATCGTATAAAGCCCGCCCTGACAATTTGATTGGCCCGCCAGATATTGTGCGAGCATACTCGCGCTACTATTGAGCAATGCCAGACCGAACTTCCCGAACTCAAACGTTGTGGGCGGGACTAAGTTTGGAATGGCACCCAGGCTACACTTCTGTCAGAATGAATGGGCCAAACTTACAGCAAACTGTTGTTCAAAGATATCCAGATTCTTTTACCCAAGTCATATACTTTAAATTTCTTTTACTAAAAATAAATGAAATAAATATAAATTTGAGAACATTTACTGAAGAAAAAATACTGAAATAAGAGAGAATCTTTTTTGTGTGCTGCTCAGCAAATTTAAATTATTCTTCTACCCTAAACTGACCTGAAACAAGAAATGAATTGAATTTAATGTCAGACAGTGCAGGGCAATTGGTTTCATGCAGCACGTTTGAACCCCTGCTTTCAGCTATAAGTCCATGTTTCATCAGGGTGCATACTAACAGTCACTGCTGGCCCAAGTTTAGAAAGATTAGTGTTAGTTTCAGATCACAGTAAGCCCTGGCCTCTGAAACTGATGACCTTATAATGTCGTTCTGCTTTTGAAATGTCTAAGTCAGCCAGATAAGTAAGGATTTCAGACTGTTTTGTGAAATTGTGGATGTATATTTTCTCTCTGTGAAGATGAATGGGTGAGGTGATACATGTGTGGGGAAAAAAGGCCACCCTCTGGGACTTTTTGCTATGCATATTTAATGTTTTCTGAATTGGTTTTTGGCTCTATTCTGAAGTGGTAAGAAACAACAGAGCAGAGTGGTAAGCCTGCTCCAATTACCGCCTTGTTTCATCTATTTTTTCAAGCAAATGCTTTAAAAATTTTCTTTAACTTTTCGTGTGTAGGTCGCTCTTTTTGTATTTTTCTGAAAGGAATTTAAGCAGCATAGATAAATACTGTAAACCAGGTTCTTAAATAACAATGAAGGTGATTTTCTCTGGTTGAATTCATTATCAATAGCATTAAAAGCTATATTCTTTTAGAGGACATTTAATCCAAAATTCCAAAAGCTTTTTATTAGATTGTTTATTTTTTTAAATAAAGTCAAATAATCATTCAATTATTTTGGGCTTTTGCACAGGAAATCCTTCCTGTTTATATTAAATCAGAGTGCTTTATAATGACTATCCTTAATTGCTTAAAACTATTTTTGCTTAAATAACAAGTACTTGCTATAATTTGCTGTAAAGATGGTAACATTAACGGAAACTAAATATTACCATTAGCAATTTAGGGAACTAAACAACTGACTAATAGCAATATAATGAATGAGATGAATGGGATGTTACTTTATACATACATTTCTGCTCAGAGGATGTATTAATACTTCACCTTCAATGGTATTGTCACAGTTTGGTGGAGGTTTTTGGAGGACCCAAATGCAGAGTTGAGGAGGAGGAAAGGAGTTTTGCTGATTTAATTGAAATTCCACAGGCAACAGAAGCAAAGTCCAAAAACACAAAATACTGCAGACCAAATAAATCCAGGAAACATCAGCAAAACATACATGGGCACCAAAGAAACAACTAGCAACAAATCAACAAGAAACCAGCAATGAAGACCAGCAGGGCTGGTATATATATATGGGGAACAAAACAAAGAATGGGCTAATAAGCTGACACGGAGCAGGTGTGAATAGAACTAACTAGAAGGGAGCCAAGGGGAAAAGAAACAGGCACAAGGGGGCAACAGAGAGTAACTCAAAAACGTAACACTGCCTGGAAACAAAGTTAAAGACAAAATTACAAAGAAACTACAAACTACCCTGACAAGTATTGCTTCTGCCTTATGTAAAGTTTCAGATCAAAAGCTGAATGCTCCAGCTCCAGTGTAAATCAGACATTTTTTTTAATCTGCTGATTTTGAAGCCCTTCAATAATAAAGCTCCAGATTCAGGACCCTGAGTTCAGAGGAAAGTGTTGTTAACAATAATAATTCTTGAGAAATACAATGCTAAAATAACAATTGATAAACCATAACAATAATTTGCCACAAATGCTGGAAAAATATAAAAGATGAATAAAATCAAATCTAAATTAAATAGTTGTACCAATGTTAAAAATAAACAGAGAGCTATATTTCAATGTAATGTTTTTTTTTTTTCTGACACCCACAGGTGTGGCAATGCGGAGGCAGTCTAGAGATTCATCCCTGCTCCCATGTTGGCCATGTGTTCCCTAAAAAGGCCCCGTACGCACGGCCTAACTTCCTCCAGAACACTGTACGAGCCGCAGAGGTTTGGATGGGCTCCTATAAACAGCACTTCTACAATAGAAACCCTCCAGCAAGAAAGGTAGGGCATTTAGAAACTAGAAACGTCTTTTATATTTCATTTAAAGTCATAATTGGTTCCGCACTGGTCCAAAATTGATTTTTGAATCACTTCTCAGGAACATGTTAATATTCCACTGAGTGGCTCACATTTGACATCAGATTTTGATGTTTGGTGTCATATAATTCGGTGGTGAGTTTGTGATCCCTCACTGGGTCAATATGTGTCTGTATGGGCTTTCACAGGTGTATGTGTGTGCACTGGCTCTCAGGTCTCAGAGTTGGGCAACATGAAAAATTCACGAATCTCAGTTACACCTTTCTGAAAAAAACATACATTATTAATGTCGGGGATCTTTGATCAAACAAGAAATTACCTGGTCAGGGGGAGAGTGAACACAGTACTGCTAGACTTGATCTGCTGCTTGTTTTAAATTGAGCTCCAAACATGTCATCGGTTCTGGTTGGCCTGGTAGTAATGGCTTTATAACTTTCATTAAATCCAATTATTCCGGCACTCAGGTTATTTTAAACTACTATCAGCCTTTATTTTATTAGGTAAATCAATTGAATAATTAGAGTTTAAAAAATATATAAAATATCTTAATCAATACATGGAATGTGAAGATATGTCAATTTGTATGCATTGTGTGTTTGAATAATTGTACAGGTTTTAAAATATTCTTCTGACCACAGGTTTAGGCTAATATCCATTCTCTTGTTATTATTTGCTGTTTTTTAGATATAAGAACACATTTACCTTGATTTAGTATTATCTTCTCTCTTCTTAACAAATTGATAGTGACTTTATCAAAAGCACCAATGTTTCACACTCATTTAACCCGGGGAAAATAGAATTTTCATTACTTGTCCAAAATTTCCTTAACTTACTTTGGGTTCATATGATTCATTGAGGAGGCTTCTTTGTGACTTTGTCGTTTTATTTATCGCAGCTGAATGGAAATGTTATGAAAGCTTTACAAAGCTGAATAAATAGACTTTCTAATTGCTGCAGTATTGCTATTGCATTAAAGGATTTATACATTTTAAGTTTTTTTCTAATTGTTAGGGAGTCCCCAGTAATTCTGTACAATTAAGAACATTAATTCATATTTTTCTTCCAGCAATTTTTCCCTTTTAACCGCTTTCAGAGAAAGCAGCCGTACTGCAGCCGTGTGTACGTGCCGTACATTCATTTCCTCATTTAGCCTCAGGTAAAGCATTGAAGGGTGTGGGAAGGCTATAGTTGTTTTAGGAGTTTGATTCCTTGATGCACACCTGTGCTTTACGACCTGAAGCTGTCATATCCAGGATGCTGATATTTGCTTTCTTGATCAAACAGTGTTTTGTTTTCTTTCACTGATAATGATGACAAAGGGTGGAAAAGCGGATCTGAAAAATGAACGCGCCACTGTTAATTTTTGTCGGTCTTAAAAGAAAGCATGATCATTTTTAAACATATTTCTTAAATTTAATATGATCTTTATTCTCTTTAATTTAACAGAAAAAAAAACAGAACCTAATTCCAATTCTCACTGCGGCATCTTCTAATATAATTTCAGCATCCAACAAACCTGTTTTTACATCACCACATGAACGGTCATTCAGATTTGGTTTTTTGATGCATGTTTTTTTTCCTTTTCCTTTATGTTTTAATTACATGCATGCTCAGCCTTACAGCAATGCTGAATGAGGAAATTCCTCTTAATCTTGCAAAGTATTGAATATTTTGTGGCAAAACCTGCTTTTTTTTGTAGTCAGTGTAAGTTCCACCTAAATAAAACTCTACAAATTTAAAGTTTGGAAATGATCGCTTAAGTAATTGCTTTAAATTAACAGCACTGATACTCTCTGTCTAGATTTTCTGAATAATAGTTGTCACTATAGACAACCATACACACACCAAACAATGGCAATTACAAATTGGTATTTCAAGTTGAATTCTTTTTCTTTACTTTTCCTTGTGATGGGATTATTAATGTTTCATCTGGTACATGTGCTTTACAGGAAAACTATGGGGATATTTCCCAGAGGGTGCAGCTGAGGGACAAGTTAAAATGCAAAAGCTTTGAATGGTACCTGAGGAACATCTACCCGGACCTACACGTCCCGGAGGACAGGGAAGGATGGCATGGGGCTGTAAGTCTGCTTATCATATATATTATCCCTTCGTCTGTTTTACCCTGTTTGTATGGCAACTGTGTCATTTCACATATTTTGCTGTTTGACAAAATATCTAGTTATTGCAGAAACATGGCAATGGATTAGATTACTGTTTTTTTTGCTTTTTACATGGATAGCTGTGTCATGATTTGGAAAACAAGCTAACAGCGGGTTGAAACCTGTTTTCTGCTGTGTGCTTGGCCTCTCTGTATGACCTGCCTGTAGAGTGTCAATCAAGGGAGTCAATCCACAGCATTACGTCTTTATTGTTGCTGAAAATTGTTTTTTTTCCCTGTTCAGGTTCGCAGCTCAGGGTTACAATCAGAATGCCTTGATTACAATGCTCCAGATCACAATCCTACTGGAGCACACCTTTCTATGTTTGGGTGCCATGGCCAGGGAGGAAACCAGGTAATGATTAGTTTAAATCTCAGTTTGCTCTTTTTTTTTTTTTTTCCCCTGTTGCTTAGTGGAAAGTTGACGTTTTCTGCTGCCGATTATGTGTCCCTCATTTATATTTATTGTTGGAATCAGACAAAATCTCCACTTTTTATCTTCCACCTGCTTGATATCTCTGATTACTCCACTGATGCACCACATTAGCTGTCCCCAGTCAAACATGGACACCATGTGTTACTGAAAATCAATGTCTGAATAGCTGCCCTGTGAAATAAAAACCAGAGGTCCCTTCACCACCTGCCTCCTGTTCTCTCATGCCTGGCCCACATAAAAACCACGTTCCATTTGAAAGATACATGAGCCACGCAGGTAGAGTTAGTGGCCCCGCCTGCGTAAAGAAGTCATCAGTCAGGAACTGTGGCCCATAAGAGATGCTTTTAATTGGAAATTAGCGTGGTAGGCCTGAATGATATATGAGCTGTGAAGAAGAGGGTGGAGAAGTATGAAGACTGATGATCTGAGCCACTGTTTAAAGGGTAGCCCTGGGTAGCGTGGCGTCTTTAGTTCCGCCAGGTCAGTTTGTTGAAATGACACCCGAGAGGAAGAGTTGGGGTTTGTGTACATGGCGGTTTGATTGAGAGGGCCGAGCCCTTCCCAGAATGAGCTCGGTTGTCACAAACATTAAGCGCTGAAATAAACACCAAGTGTTTCCATTTGACTAAAGTCTTCCAAAGAGATATACCAAGGGATTTATCTCAGACCAATATATATATATATATATATATATATATATATATATATATATATATATATATATATATATATATATATTATATAAAACATATGTATGTAATATATATCTCTCTAATACATTTTTTTTTCAGTACTTTGAATACACTTCTCAGAAAGAGATCCGTTTCAACTCTGTTACGGAGCTGTGTGCTGAAGTACTTGAAGCACAATCCTCCATCAGCATGAGGCACTGTCCTCGGGATGGGGAAGCAAAGCCTCCTAGTATCCTTTGGGAGTTCAGACAAGTGAGGGATTTCATTTTGCACACTCTTTAAAAGTTACATTAATGTGATGTCTGACCTGATGTCCCACATTCTCTCTTCAGGATGGCAGCATCTACCACCCTCACACGGACATGTGTGTGACAGCATACCGCACAACAGAGGGACGCACGGATGCACAGATGAGGCGGTGCAACCCAGCCGACAGGAACCAGCTGTGGAAGTTTGAATGGTAGAACCAGAAAGTTTAGCAGCAAAACTCAAGTGACCTCACCTTGACCTTTGTGCAATTACTACACTGGAGGGCTTTTTTTCTGAGTCTGTATTGGATCGAACTGGGAATATCAAACAGAAAGGTCTTGAAAAATGTCACTTTAAACCAATGATTTGCTTCACTTTTCGGTTGAACGAGCACGAGTTGCTGAGAATTGCAATTCTATTGGAACTGATTTTTTTATTTTATTTTTTCAAAGAGCTGGCTTTCTAAGTGCCTGTACAAGAAGAAAAGAGGACATTTATTATATTGGTTATTATGCACCATCATGTCAGAAGTAAAAGTTATTTGATTGCCCTGCACATGAATCTAGAAGTAAAATGATTATTTCATGTAATAGCCACAAAGTCAAACTGCACTGCAAAGTTTTATGTGCAATTTATTTCATTATGTCCTTTACTTGTGTATGCAGTTGTGAAATTATGTAAAATATGAGAATGTTGGCTGCTAAACGAAGAGCTCAGAATGTAAGGTCACCAGCATTTTGCACTGCACCGGTGATTCCCAAACATGCCCCATCATGTGAGAGGAACAGGGAGAAAGGAGGGCGCATGCTGTTGACATACTACACTTGCCTTTCAACTCTAACTCCTGCCTGTGGTGCCAGTTTTATGGCAAAGTTCTGCCTGAACAAGACTTGAAAAATTAATTAAACCCTCGAACTGAGGTGCGTTTCGCCCCAGAGAGTTTAGCTATCTGACGAGGAACGTCGTAATCTATTCTTACCTGCTGTGTGTGTCTAAGAATGCCCTTTCAAACCAGCTGTCACTCAGCCGGAGGAGAACCTGACATCTTAAAATAACCATGCGTGCCAAAATGTAAAAGAATTTATGTGTGGAATTTATTTTGGAGCACTTTTAAAAAAAAATGGAACTAAGAATAAACCATTTAGTTTTGTTAGAAAAAAAGCCTTAAAGGGGAGCACCTATACGTGCCTTGTTTTCTGAGAATCCTGTGTTTGAACTGTACTTGAAAATCTGTCTTAAAGACATTAACCTTAAATAAAAGGCTTTAGGTTTTATCGGGATTTATGAAATCTTAGGATACAGCATTACTGCTGTTCAGACTGTCTGTAACTGCATTTCTGAACTATGAGATATTCACTACATACAGCTGGAAACGTATATGACTTATTTGTTGTTACACCTTTTTGATAAATAACGGTTGGTTGAAGAGACCAAAGCGGGAAGTGCTAATGTAAGGATTTAAAACTACTGAAAATGTAAAAAAAAAGAAAAGTGGATCAGTTTAAATAAATGGGGTGGATTAAAGGGAAAGGGTTAATTTTACTGGGATTGATAAATAAAAATCTAACCACAAATACTTGGAAGTTTGCTTTTACTTTTTTGTGTGCAGATCCATCACAACCAGTCAGCGGTTTAATTATTATGTAAAAACAATGTACAAATGTATTTCCTAGAGGTTCTTTTAATTTTTTCCAATCTTTAGGCCAAATGTAGCAATTTTGTAAAAAAAGAAGGCTTAAAGTGTGTTGATTTCTGTGGCTCTCACATCATTCATAGCTGTGTACCACCACCTACTGACAGCAGAGCATATAACACTGATGATACCAGTTTGGACACAAAAGAAGTGGAATTTTAAACTAAAACCTGTATTCGTTTGATTTGCCAGCTCTCTACTTTGCATGTTTTACAAGCTTTCTCTCTTCAGTTAACCTAAAAAATAATAAATGCATCACTTACCAGTTTCTGCTGACCATGCTGACTTTCTGAGGAGGCAGATCTGTTTAAGTGAGACGTCTACTCATTTTTAATACCTCTTTAATCCTTGGAGGTTTGCCGGGGCTGATGCTTATCTCAGGAGATTAATGGTCGAGAGGCAAGGTGTCCATCCTTGACAGGTCAGCATTTGATCTCAGAGATAGTTAGAATGAACAACCACACACACACACACACGCACCTTCTCTGTGTCCAAGTAAGGAAAACATTTAAGCAGACATACATTTCTCTGCACTAAGAAAAACATCATAATTTCTTCTTTCAAAGAATAATTTCTTCTTTTTAAGTTTGCCTCCAAATGTTTCGGAATACTTTATTATTTGGGGAAACAGGGTGTTCAAGAGGAAGGTGTTGGTTAAAGGGCTTTAGGTATCTGAACAGGAAACCACCCCGGGAGCTTTTCTCAGAGCTCTCAGAAGGTTCTACTCAGTGGTCTCTTCATTAGGTCCACCTGTTGAGTTGCTTTTTGACACAAAAAACACACTAGCTGATCACATGGTAGAAACATGCTTTTAACTAACTAGAACTAGTGAAAATGAATTCCTGAAGATCAAAGCAAACATTAGACTGGTATTAAGACATCTTTGAATATGGCAAAGCTGTTGGTGCCAGACAGGCCAGTCTGAGTATTTCACAAAGCTTTTATCTACTAATTTCTTTACACATCGTTATGTTTACAGAGAACCATCCCAGGATGAGAGATATCCAATGAATGTTATTTTGGATGATTATGAAAGGCATTTACAAGGAAGAGAATGGCTTAAATAAACTACAAGTAAGATATATTAATGCATCTCTGAGCACACAACACATTGAAGCAGATGGGGTACCGCAGCAAAACACCACTAAAGGGAAACCATTCTGTCAGCGTAGAGAAGGAAAAATTAGCATTGGCTTTCCAATTGTGGACAATGACAGGTTCTATAATAAATAATGCAACCATTTTTGGGATTTACTTAATTATATTTAGTTACTTTAACACAATTGTTTCATGTTAGCAGTGTAGGACATACAATAATTGTGTTAAATATGATTTAAAAAATGCCAAAAGTGGTTGCATTGTTTTTTTCAATGTAAAAGCATGGATCCATTATTTTCTTTGCCAACACTTTAAGCTACTGCAGCTGAAATTAATGTAGGTCAGGAGATTTTTTTTTGCCTCCTTTTGAATCTCTTAAAGGAAAAGAAAATGCAGTTCATTTAAAATGCCACAGCTAGTTGAATAATCTCGCTGACCAAGTTATGGTGGCATTGGACCCATCTTCTGATGGCTACTTCCAGGAGGATGACGCACCAGATCACAAAGCTCCAAATGTCTTAAACTTGGTTTCTTACACATGCAACTGGGTTCATTGAAGTCAACCCACCAAACATTGAATGTTTAGACAACATCTGCAAAAAGCTGCCTTTAACGTTCAGTGAATGTCTCCTACGGGCATTCCCAGAATGAAATGGCCTCCACAGTCACCAAAACTCAATCTATTAGAGTATGCTCAGTATGTGTTTGAATGAGAGATTGGTATCAAGAAAGGGGAGCTAATAAAAATGCATCCACAGTGTGATTTCCACAATGTTTTTATTCCTTTTACCCTCTTTTTTCCTTTCTTTCCTCCTTTTTTAAAAACTTTTTTCCCCTTTCCCTGATGTCCGCAATGTTAAGGACATGCAAAGGACATAGAATAGTCCTGAGGCCATTCCTTCTCCTAGCTCAGCTCTTTGCTTTAGGCTATTGTCATGGTGGAAGGTAAATTCTTTGTATTAGTGTGTGTTACAAACTGCTTTACAGCCTTTTTTAAACGATTCTCTTTAAAAGTGGCTACTGTGGTATTACTATTAAAGACTATTAAGTATATATACTGAGGGATAAGTGGAGCATGGCGTAGAATGCAGGTGAGTTATTCTGGAGTTAATGTGAATCAGCTAGGGCAGAAGGATTGCTGGGAAAACATGTAAGTTTGAAATGAATTTAGCTGCACAAACAAACAAAGAAACTATCAAACCTGTGGGAAAAATTTAATAGATCTGAAAGAAATAAAGCCAGAATAAAAATCAAATGCTAAACACAAAAAATAAACCAATAGAGACATCTGAAAACTGATGAAAATGTGGAAATCGATATAAAGATCATGATTAAAATCTTAAAAGAAAAGAAATATTAAAACAGGTTAAAAAATTATTTGATAATTATGAAGACATCATTATATCACCCATCCTGTCAGAAATGTTTCATTACACACTTTTAATTATACAAATGGGATAGTTAAAGATGAGCTCGTATTTTTTTTAGAGTGAATTGTTGGTAAACAGGCAGACAGAAAAAACAGGGGGGGCAAGCAGGTATGGTTTAGACGTCCCTGGAGAATGGCTTTAAAAAGATGGAAGAAACTCATCCCTTACTGTCTTATCAAGAAGAGATAAGTGATGGTATATTGATAAAAGGATGATAAACCAGTCCTAAAGTTCTGTATTGACAAATTCATAAGTGCAGAATCCAGAGGGAACTCCCACTGCAAACATAGTACACACACGGACCCTGACAGGGAAGGACACACTGAAATGTAGAAGGCAGAAATAACTGGTGACCTGTAATCTTTGGGCCTTGACACAGCACTACAGTAAAAAATAGACATAATTATGCTGCTGAAGTCAGTATACAAGCTCAGAAACACATGATGTGATGTTTATTACAACATAAGGGAAACAACATCAGTGGCAAAGCTTGGAACTTTTATAATGGTAGCTACATTAAACTTTTTTAAAAGGCTGTATTCAATATTTGGACAGAAAGCAATCAATGTGGTAATTTCAGAAGTTAAAATTACTGTCCGGTTTTAGTTTTTTTTTTTTTTGTCTGTGCCTATATCAGATTTGCACAGCTGCTAAAATGAAAAAAGTGAAAAATTAAACTACTCAAGCTCAGCTAGACTGGATGGAGAGCAATAAAGTCTCACCATGGTTTTCTTAATTTGATATAAGTTTAGACTTTGACGAGACAATTTTAAAACAGCCAAATGATTGGAATTTAAACACAATGTGTTTCAGCTCTGGCTGTTCAGTTCGAAGTTGAACTCCATCTCAGCTGTAAGGCAAGTTAATTTAATTTATAAAGCACACACAGCAAAACGATTACTAAAAATGTACATAAACAAAGCATAGCAGGAAAACACACAGTGAAAGTACGTTAACGGAGAGAAAATGAAAAAATTAATTAAAGGAAATAAAAATTAATAAAATTATATGATTATTAATAATAAAATGGTTAAGAAAGATTGTTTACAAACTTAAAGGTATTGTGGAGGATTTTCTTAACTTTTTTTAAAAGACCCGCCCTCTCCATTAAAAAAAAAATGCATGTGCGAGAGTGCGCATTTTCCATTTCTCCTCGTGCACGCTTTGTTTAAAAGTTTCTGTTCTCATTGCTCCTCCAGGCTTACTGTTTCTGAACATCCGCTCTAACCCTTAAATCCCTCAATCACTATATAGAGCGGGGACTATATCGTGGACTTTATAGCAAACGTAGTTAACTTACCATTCAGACAGATGATCACTTCCCAGTTGATCCACTGCGCAGTGAATACGCCATCTTTGTTGTTAGTCGCACCTGTCAGGTAGCGACAGCCTATTGCGACAGCAAATCCCATAATGCTTTGCGAGGACTCTTCGTAGACACTTTTTCTCATATGACCCTCGACCATTTTCAAAGAACTGTGGTGAGAAAGGTGAGCTTCAATGACTATCTGAAACAGTAGCTCACCACAGATAGTGGAGATGTGCAGAAGAAGATAGCTAACGGAAGAGCGCATAAGACAGCCTTACGTAAACATATCACCAGAATGATTGACAATTAGGAGGAACACTTATTTAGATGATCCAAAACTGTCCTCTATAACTTTAAACTACTATTGTTTAAATAGCATAATCAAATGCAACAGAATTAAAAAGGTTTTTAACCTTGATTGAAAGCTAATTAGGGTTTCAGTTGTCTTCTGTAATTTGTTCAAGAATGATTGAACATAAAAACTGCTTCTCCATGTTTGGTTCTGGTTCTGGTAGGAAAAGTAGACTTCGGCCGAAAAACTGGACAAGTCTGGGCGGGTAATTCAGTGACATCATGTTTGTAAAGTATTTTAGAGCTGAGCTATTCAGAGATTTACAGAGTAACAGAAGAATTTTAAAGTCTATTCTAGGGTGACCATAGAGATGTCTGTGGCATGCACTCACTTAACATAGTAATCCTACAATAACATGATATTTACAGTTGATTTATTAAAAATGCTTTTCAGTAAAACTCAACAGCAATAACTCCAATAAAAAATGATAACTTTATTCAAAATGTATTTATTAAAAATGCTTAACAATTCCTGTAATGAATAAATAGCACAATAAAAGAAATAATGTCTCATCTAAACATCCCTCACTTAACAATAAAAGTTAACCGTAACTCTCAACTCCCAATAACACATGATACTCAGTCTCAGTAATGAACGAAATAATGTCTGTTCTGTAGGCTATTGGAAAAAATAAATTAACAAATGAGCTAATTAACAAAAAATACCTCTTGTGTAGCAAAAATAACTCAAAATGTACAAAAAACCAACAAACATAGCAATAGACTATCTTTACTTTTGGTGTCCAGGTGTCTTTTCAGATTCCTTGCACCTCCATTGGACACGAGACATATGTGCCTGCTTTGCACACTGTGCACAAGGCCTCCCATTTGTCTGGACTGGGTCTGAAAGCGGGGAAACTCTTTTGTAAATCGTCTGCGAAATACGGACGTTTGTTCACTCTAGTCTATTCTCTTAGATACAAGGAGCCATAGTAATGACTATAGAACTCGGGTGATGTTCTCCACTTTCTGAGGTTTTAGTGAGGATGCAGGCAGCAGCATTATGGCTTAACTGCAGCTGACGGATCGACTTTTTAAGCAGACCTGTGAATACATGGTTGCAGTTATCAATTCTACATTAAGTCTTTAATCCTAATTTTTTAAGGTGATAAAAGGCCGATATTGATAGAGATTTTAACTGGGTTGTTGACCAAAATGTTTAACTTCTGACCCATGCGTCCAGAGAACCTGTTATGACTCCTTATCCTTTCAGGGTTTTTTTTTCTTAATGGATCTAACAATTTGCAAGCTGATCCAAACATGTGTACACTATGTTATTGCAGTGTATTCATCAACATGATGCATTCAGGCTAACAACAAACACTAATTGATGGCTGTTCCCGCAGTGATGCAGGAAATCCTTTCCATGTTTTTTTTCCCCATTAAAGTCCTATGTTATTGACTTTTGAACAAACAGAAGGTAAAAGATATTTCTTGAACACCACATGACCTGCAAGGGAGAACAAAACAACAAGAGAAGATGAGTCAATCAGGCCATACTGCACATGATTCACACTGCTTAAAGCTTTTGGTTGCTTAATAACAGCTTGGTGGAATGTTTGGATCATTCCCTGCATTTGCACTTTTAGACATGTTAGTCATCTACAAGCCAAGCCTGAACATTGCTTTCCACATTTGTTTGGGATTTCATCTATGCTGTCCAAATTCTGCTATGTGAGGGACAGGCTGGCTAAAAAATGGGCTTCATCAAATGTACCATATGAAAGAACATCTCATATGTCAAAAAGGCATTATCTAACTGGTATAAGATAGTGTTTTTGATAAATTCCACTTTTGTAAATATACGCAAAACTTTCCCTTGGCTCTAAAACAAAAATCTGACAGGATATTGCTCAGTCCAAAGTCACCAGAGCTTAAAGGAATAGTACACCCAAAACATGATTAGCCTTCATTTTCTACTCACCTCCATGCTGAACAACACTCTGGAGTACTTTTTTGATATATCAAATGCATCTGGAGATCTGGGAGACTTCTTGCTGTCTGCTGACATTCAAATAATGGAGGTCTATGGCGCCCGAGACAGAAAGGTCCACAAAAGTCCACAAAAACTTGTCAATATTCCTCCATACTGCTCGTCCAATGTAATCCAAGTGTCCTGAGTGGGTAGCATCCAGAATTTACTCGAAACGAAGTCATTTAGAACGTTTTAGAGCCTAAACAGTAGTGTATAGGATTTCCTAATAGCGCCCCCATGCGCGCTCACGATTCTACGGAAGCCGGCAGACCAAACCAGCGCATTCAGCTCGGCAAAGAACTCATGCTCTTCCTCAACACTGAAGTCCTCAGACATTTTTCTTTCGTTGTTTCTTTCTTTGCACAGGTAAACAGCACATTTCTTCTTCTACGCTTGCATTATCGGCAGACCAGACGCTGAATGCGCACTTCCTTCCGGTTTGGTCTGCCGGCTTCCGTAGAATCGTGAGCGCGCATGGGGGCGCTATTAGGAAATCCTATACACTACTGTTTATGCTCTAAAAACATTCTAAATGACTTCGTTTCGAGTAAATTCTGGATGCTACCCACTCAGGACACTTGGATTACATTGGACGAGCAGTATGGAGGAATATTGACACGTTTTTGTGGACTTTTATGGACCTTTCTGTCTCGGGCGCCATGGACCTCCATTATTTGAATGTCAGCAGACAGCAAGAAGCCTCCCAGATCTCCAGATGCATTTGAGATATCAAAAAAGTACTCCAGAGTGTTGTTCAGCATGGAGGTGAGTAGAAAATGAAGGCTAATCATGTTTTGGGTGTACTATTCCTTTAATTTTGCCATCAGTAAGGCCTGTGTGTGCACCAAATGTCTCCTCCATAGAAAATTTGATCCATTCTCCTGTCCTAAATGAAAACGCTATCATCCATCCACATTAACATTGTGCTTCTTGACAGATGCGACAAGCTCGGTCTACCGTGATACATTACAACACTACAACGGCTGACTTGTTGCCTTCCTGCGACTCTTTGTATAGTTTTTTTTACAACATGGGTGCTCGATCAAACAGCATGACACTCAAATTACCTTCTGGCCATGAATGTTCACCTTAATTATTTACCAATTTAATTTGCTCAAACATAAATTTTGTGTCAGATTTCAGCTTTGGTGTTTAGAGTTTTCATATCAGTTTAGCCTGAGTGACAACAGGCCTGATAAATGATATAATAAAGCCTTCATAGCGGATGCATTAAAGGCTGGCGATGGACTTCCCAGAGAAATTAAAGGTTTTCCAGACTGGGATCTACACATAGTTTGGCTAGGGGCAACTGTTGTAGTTCATATGATCAATATTAGTTGCTTATAAGATGAAGTCAGTATCAGCAGACAAATACTTCAGATGGTTTTACGTCTGATATAAAATAAAACAGACCACCTAATTATAATTATCAACTGAAATCAATAAGTCAAAGTAAAGCTAAATAACATTCTGGAAAAAAAACATAAATAAAGCTAATGAACAAAGAAGTAAATCATAAAACATCTAACTAACTAAAACAGAAAAACATTAGATACTTATTTTTTAAAGTAATGATAAACTACTTAAGAATGTTTTGAAGGTTTTAAGATTAAGGTTTTTGGACTTGCAGTAAACCCAATGTTCAGCATCTGTTCTCCATTAAGGTATACTGCTGACACACCAACTTTGACCTTTAAGTTAAAAGCCTTTTCGCAGAAGATTATTATTATTTGAATGAAAACTGAAGAGGTCTCTTTTTTTTTCATTTTCTATACCATATTTCCATGTTTAAAAATGTCCTTGTTACAGCATAGTTTAAAAATAAGAATGGTTAGTTAAATTGAATACATGGCTTAAATTAATGTGTAACATAATAAAGTTATTTAGCCATTTAACAACCTTGGCAACCTACAACCTCCATTTTATTTACCGAATGATCTACGGCAAAATTTTTGTGCCACCAATTTAGATTATTGGATCAGGTCAAGCGCATGCAGTTTTTGGAGTTGAGTGTGCGACAGACAGGATTTGAGCAAGGGTGCGGGAGTTTAAACGCTGCACATTGTTCTCACAGAACGCTCAGATTGGTAACTACGCGTTAAAGTCTGTGGCACAAAAATTTCACCATAATGGTTAACCATTTGGTTGTCCAGGCAGATAAAGAGATAAAGTGTAATAAATAAACTTGATATAAGGGGGTATTTTAGGCTTAATTACAGAAGAGGATTAGGGCCACAGAAAAAAATAAAAAAAGATAACTGATTTTTAAATATTATTTCAGTTTAAAATGGCAAAAAAGTCAGAATTCTGACTTTTTTCCCTTATTAAACTGAAATAATATAAAGTCAGAAATAAAATTAAGATAAAGTCAGACATAAAATTCTGACTTTAATCTCAGAATTCTCACTGTTTTCTGACAGCTAACAAACATGTTAGCATCAAGCTGTAGCCATGTCTGTTTTAGAGACTAGCTCTCTTGTTATAATCATCTTCTGCTCTTCCATTAATGAAATAGCATCACCTGGGACCCCTCTGGCATGTAAAAAGTTGCCTAATTTCGTCACCAATGTGTTACTGGCCCTCCCAAAACAACTAACATCTTTGTCAGTGAAGCTGAGTGCTCCCACATCTCTTCCTTCGTGGTGCCCATCTACATTAAGATCCAAATTTATGAGATTAAAGTCAGAATTCTGAGAAAAAAGTCAAAATTCTGAGATTAAAGTCAGAATTCTGACTTGTTCTCACATTATAGTGAAATAAAATTTCAAAATTTGTTAACTTTTTTTGTTCTTTCAGTGGCCCTAATCCTCTTCCGTACTTAATAGTCAAGCCACATGCATTTTATTTTGGTATTTCCTAAACGGAAATGTTGTGGCTAGTTAAGCAAACTTAACATTTTTTTTTACTTTTTAGTGGTAAATCAAGAATGCAGAAGTAAAAAAAAAATAAAATAAAAATAAAAAAAAAATAGGCTAGTGGTTCAGCGAGCTCTGAAATTCGAGACAATGGGTGGATATTTGATTAATATAGTCAGTTTCCTCGTCGTTAATAAAACCAATTATTTTTCGTTTTATTTATTTATTTGACCTAGATTTGTTTCATCTCTCAGTTTGTCACCTAAGGAGATAATTTGCTGGATTGTAATCCCGGTGTGTGCGCGTTAATCCGTTCACACTGGTCCAGCTCAGGAGTTGGAGGGAGTCCAACGGGAGGAGTGTCTGTAATCTCGCCGCCGGGGCCATAGAGTTAAATGCGTTGAGGTTCCGGGTAAATGAGTAACAAACTGAACAAATGAAGGCAGCGCTCAGAGTCTGAAGATTTACTAAAACTTTGAGCTGGCAGTGAAGTATGCGGGGCAAACTCAGGCGGAAACACAACACAGGTCTGCCGGTTTGAAGGGGCGCGAGACCCCGAGCAAACTTTGCTCATCCTGAAGAAGATGGCAGCATGCGGAAGAAGGAGTCGAACAAAGTTACTTTTTTGCCTCCTTGGCGTCACTTTGTTGGGTTATCTGATATTTTTCAGACACCCATCCGGGGAAGTCAGCGCTGCAAACCGACGTGAAGTCCCCAGGGACGGAGAAGTAGAGACTGAAGGACTTAATAGGCCAGTCTACGAGAAGCTCCCGCTGGATTTAAATGCCCTGGGTGAAATGGGCAGAGCTGTGAAGCTTAATCTGAACAAAGAGGAGAAAAAGAAAGAAGAGGAAAGCATACAGAAGCACCAGATTAACACGTATGTCAGTGACAGGGTTTCACTGCACCGCAGGCTGCCGGAGAGATGGAACCCACTGTAAGTGGAGAAAACCTTAACTACTCTAAACACTTTACATTGACATTTAATGACTTTATTATTAATGGTCCGTTATTCGACATTCTGAAAGCTACCAGTCTGAAATTGTTTTAACATTGCTAAAATACCCCCTCTTCCAGTCCTAATTTTAAGTAAATTAAATAAGATCTTAGAAGAAATGTTTGGAATATGGAGCTTAAAAGCAGTGTATACATACTGTCCTCCCTTGATTATAAGAAGATGACATCAACTTTATAGGAATAGACAACAAATTGTGGCCCTCAGCTTGCAGGGCTCCATTATAATGGAGCAATGACTTGTGCAATGTATAATGTGCAATTACTATTTGATACCCTGTGCTATAAGCTGTTTCTCTATATTTGGCACCCTGTGCAATATCCTGTTTCTATTTGGCATCCTGTGCAATAAGTATGTATATAATTATAAATATCCATCTATATTAACACTCACTGCAATAACCCTGTATAATAATCCTACAAAAAATAAGCTGTCCTACGTGTATGTACTGTATATACTGTATATATCCAATTTTTCTTCCTTTGGCACCCCCTTCTTCTCCTTTAACTATTCAAGCTCATGTAATAAATAAATGTATTCACTGTGAGATCAATAAAGTCAATCAATTAAAGTAATATTATTATAATAGCTAATATGTTATAGTTACAGAAGAGGATTAGTGCTGTTTAATAAAAATGGCCACCAAATAAGTCTAATAAAATAATGGCTGTTAAATTTGGACTTTATTATCATAATGCTCACTTTTAATCTCAAAATTAAAAGTAAAACTTCTACGGAGTATTATCAGTAAAGCCCAGGATTATCACTTGGAATATTACAAGTAGTCATCGTTCTATGAGAATAATTTGAGAATAAAGTCAGAAACATTTTTTTTTTGTATGGCCCTAATCCTCTTCCGTATATAGTACTCCAGCTGCAGAAAGAATACCTGCTTTTTACAAAGTAAAATAACTCAGCTATTTGTTTAACGTGAGAATAAAGTTCTTTGTAATTTTGCATTTGCTTCCAAATTACTTGTCCACATGCAGCAACTTTTAAACTGCTCCAATTGTTTTTTTCAGTTGCAAAGAGCTCAAGTATGACTACAAGTCTCTACCCACAACCTCTGTGGTGATTGCTTTCTACAACGAGGCCTGGTCTACCCTGCTGAGGACTGTCCATAGCGTGCTGGAGACTTCCCCTGACATCCTGCTCAGGGAGGTGGTGCTGGTGGATGACTACAGTGACAGAGGTAGGCAATGGATCGATTGATGGACAGGCAGAAGGGCTGAGGGTGGGAAAGCTGTCTGATTGACAGTTACAGGAGACAGAAAGCTTGTTATTGCTGCTCACATGGAGGCACACAGATGGGATGCTCTCAATGGAGTGTCAAATGAGCTGCGTCTGAAAAGGTGGGAGGTAGAGGAGCCAAATAATTATGACACAGGAAGCAAGAGTTGGAGTGAAAACCATTTTCTCTTAACAGCGTGGTTTTGTGTGGGACGGCACTTTGAGGGTCTTCTTGGCATGTTGCATTTCTTATAGAGGAATTGCAGGTGCTGTTGCCTGCTTATGGATGAACTACAGCAGAATAAAACTATCATGTGTTTCAAGCTGCAGACATGTTTGTAATCTACAACCCAGAGGTTGTCCTCCAACCTTTTGAGTCTTGTCACCTGTGACATTTAATTTTAGTATTTAAAAAGGAGAAGGGATGTAGATGTAGTTGTTTTTAAGACAGTAGTCAGATGCATGATTTGACCCAAACTGATAGGTGCTTCTCTAATCCAAGGTCTTAGCTTAATGTTATGAATCAGACGACAACATTTATCTGAGAAAACACAACAAGCTAACCATCTGAGATTATTATTCGCCTGAGCCACATATTAAGTAATGTTTCAACTTCGTTTTCCTTTTGACCCATCATTCTCAACAGAAATCTCAACTTTCTTTATCTAGTTATTGCATAATTTGTTGCGTCTTCAGGATGTTGTGTACGCTTTTGCGTAAGTAATGGGCTGAACTGAGAGGTTGTCCCTGTGCAGGCAAACCCTGACCTTCATTAAACTGTCAGTGGAAGGAAGAAGCCTCTTAGTTTGTGCGCACAGAGTTTTTTAACTCAACTAGCCTTTTAGGTGAAGCAATGAGTCCCAACCTCACCCTCTGGTCTAACACTGTTTACACGTGGTTATTTAAAAGTATGGTGGAGGATGTTCTTTTTCCGGGTGGATCATCAAAATAAGTGGTCCTTCTAATTGTCAATCATTCTGGTTATATGTTTATGTTATAAAGCAGTTAGAGATGTCACTTATAGGGCTGACATAGTGTAAAAAAATGCAAATCTTCTTTTTGGAAACTGAGCTTGTATGAGCTATCCAAATGGCAACTTTTAAACGGAGCGTGCACGAGGAGAAATGGGCTCGTGCACGCTCTCCCACGCGCTAAATAGGCATTCCCTCTCATGAGCGGTTACAGGGTTGTGCATGTGCATTTAGTTTTAAAAGTGGAGAGGGCGGGTCTTTTAAAAAAATTTGTGAAAATCCTCTGCTATATCTTTAATCTATGGTAATGCCAATGTATCATAATAAATAAAGACGATTTTTCAATATTAGGAGCAAGTTTTAGATCCAGATCCACTTTGTCTGCTGCACATCATGCTCATTCCAGTTTAGAGATCATGCTTGAATAATGCTGTATTTTCCGATCTCAGGAAACATCCAGTGTGGGTTGACTTTGTTTTAGCAAAACATCTATTTAATGTTTACAGGCTATTAGAAAATATAGTGAAGTTAAACATTGCATTGAATGGCAAAATGTAAAGTCTCTCTTCTGTGAGCTAAAGTTGGGGATATACATGTTGCTCATTGTCTACAGATTTAGAAAAGAATAGGAGTATATAATATAAAATTGGGGATCACTAACTTAGCAGCTACCCCTGCTCAGGGATTATAGACTACAGGATTTCTCAGACTAAGTAAAGACAAAGGAAAGCCTTGGATTAACCAGCGGCACTGATAGAAGATATTCTCTGAATTTGGACAGACTAGTCTGTGCTACCCACTCATAAAACAACAGAGATGCAATTACAAATGCTTTAAGTTTGCTCCACAATGAAATTGTGTGATAGATTGTGAGGATTGTATTTTTTTGTTATTAGGGACATGTGTAGCATACTTCAGTCCTCACCTCAGCTCAAACTAAGGCCTTTTTGCACCAGCTTGCCTTGCTGATTACAGACAGATACAGACTTCCCTCGACTGGGCGTGAAACCACACAGGATGTGAAACCATCCCATGAAATTACGCAGTAGGTACCCAGATTAAGTAACAACTTAAGGTCATAATGATCCAAAGTGAGTTTGCGTCAGTTAAGAAAAAACAGTCAAGATTGGTGGGATTATCTCTTGCAAATTTACACACCCAGGCTGCAACATACATAACAAAGAGCTATTCAGAAGTCTTCACTGCAGGAAAGTCATTAGCAAGCTCGTTTTGCATAAATTTTGCATTTTCTATCTGTGCTCTTAGCGTGAACCTGCAAGGTTAGGCGGAAATACTCAGATTTCAGTCAGTTCTGACGTCCGAACGGAGAAACTTTCAACTGTGCTTTTTTAAGGTTTATTCACGTTTATTCTGCTTTATTAAAAGATCACCTGAAGGAGCCATTGGAGAAGTACCTCTCAAGTTTGAGGAAGGTACGTCTGATCCGAGCCACAAAGAGGGAGGGGCTGGTCCGGGCCCGGCTGCTAGGGGCGTCCATCGCCACGGGTGATGTGCTGACTTTTCTGGATTGTCATTGTGAGTGCCATGACGGCTGGCTCGAGCCTCTGCTCAAGAGGTGAGAAGTTGCTTCTCAGGAAACTGCAGTACTCTTCAGTTTGAGGAACTCTCCCCAGTGTTGACTTTAGAGGTCATCTTTTAAAGTACAGCTGACTCAGCTGACAACAAGCACATTAAACACTAACAATCATACAGAGCCTGTTTTCACAGCCCTTAAATTCATTTCACATTTTGTCACTTTATGCGTTCTGAATGTGATCTGGTAGACAAACACAAAGTAATCATGAAGTAGAATAAAATAAATGCATCTTTTTTTTAAAACAATTTTTTGCTGAAATTTAAGAAACCTTATTATGAGGTACTTTTGTTTTTCTGTATATAGTTGACTTTATAAATGTTAAGTCTTAGGGAAAGCATGTAGAGATGTTGACACAGGAGTTCATGTGTGTCTAAAAGAACATGCTGATAATGAGGTGGACTGCAGCCTAAAGCGATCCACCTGAGGGGTTGAATTGACTTTTCTGCAGAATATATATAAGTGAATGTTATCATGTGTATTTTTTTGTGTGCAAAACATTTAAAATAAAAAAAGGGTATATAAATAATAATGTGGTGAACATTTTTGCAGCCCTGCTGGAATGTAAAGTTAATACTTTTCTTAACATATGCCAGTTTAGATGGATAGCATGGCCCTCTGGGGGATTCTGACATTGATTGAGGTCTTTGATTTCTCTGGGCCTTTTAAACACACTAATGGACTTTATATTAAACCAGTTTAGTTCCTTCTAGATGTTTTATTCCAAGATTATATTCGGTCCAAACATCTTTCAATCTCTAATTGGCTTTCATCCCTGAACCAGGATTCCTGCAGCATGATAGTGCCAAGAATCAAGTCTTCAGCTTGATATGTGGTTGGCTAACTTATTTAGCTTTTTGCATATGAAGCAAATCAGACATTATCAGACATTTGCATGTTTGCTGTTAAGGTGGCTTATAGAAAACTGCAAATAGGATGTCTTGTTGCTATTTCCCCCCCAGCAAAGGTTTTTTTTTTCCTGCTGCTCTTTCAGAAAGGCCAGATTTGTGAGGTGCACAGCTAATAGCTGTCCTGTCAACAGATTCTGCCAACAGAATCCTTGTGGCTGCTTCTCTGATGAATGCTCTGCTTCTCTAGTCTGTCAGTTTAGGTGGACGGCCATGCTTGGCATGTTTGCAGTTGTGCTATAGTCTTTATTGATTGAACATTGCCCTTAGCTCTAACCTCACTCTGTTTTAGACTTACAAATAACTTTTCTCCCATCTGTTTACCGGGTTCTTTGGTTCACTGGCCCAAATGGCTTCACAAAGCAGCTGTGTTTATATTAAAAGTAGACTTTTAATAGTCATTAAATTTCTAACTTCAGTCAGGGATATCATAGTTAAGGGGGGTGAATAACTTTGTAAGGCTTTGTACAGCTCCCTCAGACTCTGTAGCTCATTACTCGGCTAGAGAGCAAGTGCAGTAAAAAAAGCTAAACCAGATATTTGCAAAATCTGATTCCTTTGCTTGTGTAATCACTTTCTCTCGCCCTTTCTCCAGGATCAAAGAGGAGCCGACAGCCGTGGTGTGCCCCGTCATCGATGTAATCGACTGGAACACATTCCAATATTTAGGCAACTCTGGTGAACCTCAGATCGGTGGCTTTGACTGGCGGCTGGTTTTTACCTGGCACAAGGTCCCAGAATATGAACAGAAACGCCGTCACTCGCCCACAGATGTCATCAGGTGCGATTTGACAAACCTCTGTGAAGGAAGAATAAAATGAGATCACAAGCTATTTAAGATACTGTGTGCTTTTCCAACTCTAACGGGTTTTTTCTGTCTTATCAGGTTTTTGGTGGGTAGGGACTTAATTTCTGCTCTCTCTGTTTTTTTGCAGATCTCCTACTATGGCAGGTGGTCTGTTTTCTGTGAGCAAGAGCTACTTCCATTACCTGGGGACATATGACACAGGAATGGAGGTCTGGGGAGGAGAAAACCTGGAGTTTTCTTTCAGAGTAAGAAGAAATCCATTGTATATATTCCTGTATTTTTACTTTACATTATGTAATTTCCAGCTCAAGCATTGCATAAAACATCCAATCTGCAAACTGTGAACACACTGTTAATAGCAGTAACTTGCAGCATGACTTTTGGGTCTGGGTTAAATTTACTAAAAACCATGTGACAAATTCCCCAGCAAACCACAGTGATTGAATTAAAACTGAACTACAAGGGAATGCAAAGTGAAGACCACAAGTACTGTGATTGCTGTGGACAGTTTGAGCATCCCTTTGCCGGAGTAAATAAGATTACCCAGAAGAGATGGCAGCCAAAAACATGTTTCTCTACCGGCAACAACAGCTTTTTTTGTTTCCAAACTCCTCCACAACGTCGCCCTTTGTGTTAGCCTGATTGATTCACAACTGAGAGGCTAACCAGATCCTTATGGTGTTGTGGTTCCTGTAGATTTGGCAATGCGGGGGCAGTCTGGAGATCCACCCATGCTCCCACGTGGGCCATGTGTTCCCCAAAAAGGCCCCTTATTCACGGAGCAAAGCGCTGTCAAACAGTGTGAGGGCGGCAGAGGTGTGGATGGATGAGTACAAGGAGCTCTACTACCACCGCAACCCCCACGCACGACGGGTGAGTCCACACAGGTTACAAGAAGGTTTTATGATGGATGTCAAACAGTGGCTCATTTTAGAAAGGAATTAAGCCACATTTAGATCAGATGTTTTGTTCAACAGTGGTGACTGCAATTTTTCTTTTTTTTTTAAGCCAGTAATAAACACTTGGATGCAATAAATTATATCCACCCAGAAACTGCACATATACAAGCACAGCCAATCTCCCACTGTGGTGTAAAAAGCTCCCACTGATTAAGTGACTCTCTGGATACATGAGCGACGAACACTCAAGGTGACAGGAGTGCCGGGGCATTCCGGTGTGTGATTACCACCTTTCCACGTCACTCTGTGCCAGCAGGTGTCACCCACATGTACTTGACAGGGTGATATCAGTACTAACCTGTGAGGTGCCCTGTCTTAATGTTTGTGTGGGCAAAGAGTGTGTGACAGTGTGGTTAAGAGGAGAGGCTCTCTAAGCACAGATCAGGTGGCGCTCATCTCCCTGAGAGGAGGAAATCTCGCCAAAAGGTGATGTGCTGCAACTCAAAGGAAGCACTGCTGCATTCTTTATCATGTAGGGATACAATGATCATTTTTAAAAATTTAAAGCATTAAACTTTTATTTTGTTTACAGATGCACTAGGTATTCATTTCATTTCAAAAATATAATAGTTTAATAAGGATTTTGACCTAAATGTAATCTTTTTAAAAATAATTACCTGATATAAAAATCCTGTGGTTTTATTTTTATGTTCCCAGTTGGAAAATAATTTCATTATTTTAGTATTAAGGGCATCTTATGGAGGAATTATTGGGCAATCTTAATAATAATGTAAATGAAAACCACTTCATGTTTAGAACTGTAGTAGAGAAGAATAAGGCCTATTCTGCACATCTGCTTGTCCTTTTATATCCGTCATTGAGAACCTCACCCGTTTCTGCTATTCTCTTTCACAAATTCACCTTATGAATTATGTTTATAATGAAATAATGAAAAAAATTTCAATGGGAAACTTCATTCATTCTTTAAGCAGTAAATACACATGACGTGTAATAGCACGAAAGCGCAGCAAAGCGGCATGTACTTGGCCTACGCGTGTCACAGCTTTCAGTTTTAAATAGTAAAATAATTTACATTGGAGTCGTAATATGGTCATTTAACGCCCGTATTATGCGCAAACATATGCAACACTTCTCCTTATTTAGGATGAGTTTCTAATTCCAGATGCCTATACGCTCCAGTTTGGGTTAGGAAGAAACAGGAACACAACATCTGGTTTCATAGTTCCCTTCAGGCCAAGGTGCGTTTTCTACTTGATACTTTTTCTACTACAGAATACTTAACGTCTGCAGTTATTACCGCCCAACCAGCAGATGTTGGTAGTTATGACATGCTAACAAAATACATAATAATAATAATAATACATTTTATTTGTATTGCACTTTACATTTCAACAAAATCTCAAAGTGCTACAAAATTCATAGTTAAAACAAAACCGTACAATAAAAACAGCATACATAGTTAAAACGAGACATTACAATAAAATAACATACGTAGTAAAAACAAAACACTTGATTTCTCATCAAGATGCTCATTTTCTCATCAAGATGCTAATTTAAGGTGATAATATATTACTCATAAATTCATAACTGTCAAATATAGTAATGTTTAATTTACTTATCAGGTCAGGAAAGCCCATCTTGGCTCGGCCTCGTTGCTGAACCTGTTGGTGTGGAGCGTTCTTTAGTTTTCAAACAGACATGTATGCCCCTTTGCTGTGCTTATGCGCTGTCATGCATACGGTGTATTTACTGCTTGGGTGTTTTACACTGTTTTAACCTTCTTAGTGTCTTTAAAATGTGTTATCTTTTTGGACACCATAAAGTAGTGCCTTGGACAGTAACTCAGAGCCACTTTTAAACATTAAATCATCACATTCATAAGGATGAATGTTGTATGCAACAGACCAAAGCAAAGAAAAATCCATTAAGTGGGCCTTTTTTGGCCACACACCTATAAATGTACCCCTCATTAAAGGGTAGCAAAGAATAGTCATACAGTGAATTGGATTTTTAAATCTGATTTCAAGTTATTTGACCTTCATGTAAAATGTGACGTCCTTATTAGGATCTTTGCCACTGACACCAATCAGAATAATTTAGGAGTGTCACATTTTTATACTACATTGAAATTAAGTAAAATTGTACCATGAATAGGCAGTAAAATAGGGAATATATATATATATATATATATATATATATATATATGTGTATATATATATATATATATATATATATATATATATCTCCAAAACCAGCTGATTGCATCGACTCATTGATTCTTTGCAATCCCTCTCATTGAGCATGCATGTAGCGACAGTGGAGAGGAAAACTCTCCACTGTCGCTACATGCTGGAGGAAACTTTAAGAACCAGGCTCGGTGTGAGCAGCCATCTGCAGAGTCCGACTGGGGTTCAAGGAGACAGAAGCAGATGAAGACATAAACGAATTAAGTTTTTTGGCGCACGGGCCCCGGCAGAAGACTTTGATGCTGTGAATCAACTTACGTTTGGATGAGCAACCTAGAAAAGGATTAGAGTGGTGGAGATGGGGGAAGGTTTGCTTGCGTGTGGGAGAGAGAAGCTAGACCAGGAACTAAATGAAGGGGATCTTGAAAGATGATTGGCTTCGAAGAAGGTGTGGCCCCTGAGTTGATTGGATGGAGCTGAACGATGGACAATGCAGGTGGTTCAGGTTAAGCTGATAAGAGTCTTCCTGAGTTTTTGCTTAAGTTTACCTTCTGCAGCAGGGATTAAAAGACTGGACAGAGTTGATTAAAATACTGCAACATAAAGATATACCGCTCTAACTGCTGCTCATGGTGTTTTTCTAACAATTATTTTTGGGACGAAAGTGCAGATTACAGAAGCTAAAAACTCTTATCAATTCCTTTTTACTGTTTTAAGTTTTGTTTTTTTTTAAACTGTTTTAAGTTTTGAAAACCCGGGATCACAGTTCTTTCAGTTTTTCTCTGAGTCGCATAAAAATCCAAATTAAAATACGATTGGGTTTGTGCTTGTAATTTGCTTAACGTCAAACAACAAGGTGCTTGGGACCGCTTAAGAGGCTCTAGGTGTTTTCTTTTGAAGAGCAAATACAGATAAAAACGTCAAGCATGTCATAGAAGTATCATTGCTGGTTGTCCACCTCTCCATCTGACAGAAGAGGAGCGCTCTTCCTCTGAGACAAGACTCTTGTGCTGGGTCATTCCAGCTCTTCTAGCCCTTGTTGTTCCCTTGTCTGTAGTGGTGCTAGCAGTTGATAAAAGAGAGCCTCTTTTGGGAATCTGTCTCATGACCGGATAAACTGATAAAGAGCCAATTAGAGCTGTGTTTGGGCACACAGCCAGCATCTATCACTCTGCACAGCGTATTTAGCTCCTTCTCCCAGCAGTGAAGGTGTGGTGAGCATATGCTTACCGACAAAGCAAAGTCCAACTATTTGTCCTCCTGTTGTAATCATCTATTCTTTATCAGAAAGAAAAGTGTTTACTTAAGAACATCCCTCTTAGCAGGTACACAGAAACTTGGTAAAATACAAGGATGCTGATCTTTATCTAGAGCTAAGGAGTGGTTCACTGTTGAATCATCTGATGTTGTTAAATGCGTGTTAATATTTGACATAAAAAAGTGAGCGCTGAAACAACTACAGAGGGTGCTGTTGTACACGGTTTTCTGTCAGTGCTCAGATATGAACACACTCATGTGTATAAAGCTTGATCTTTGAGTTTATAAAGATTTTTTTTTTTGGAAGTATAAGGCAGTAAAGCTGAAATGTTTTTTATTTTTTTTTTTTTTTTTCCAGGAGGCCTTTGGAGATGTGACTGAGAGGAGAAAGCTGAGGGAGAAGCTGGGTTGTAAAAACTTTAAGTGGTATCTGGATAACATTTACCCCGACCTTTACGTTCCACATGATCGACCAGGCATGTTTGGAATGGTTAGAACAATCTATTCATTTTCACACAGTAACAAAATATATATCCACTATATCGACAAACATTTTTTGTCACCCCCCCTTCAAATCTGTGAATTTGGGAGTTTGTCTTTATGGCCCTTTAGAGAGGGAAATGCTTGCTGTCATGTACAGTGGAAGAATGCCACCTGTGCATGAAGTCCAGCGCTACAGAGTTCAAAGCGTAAAGGAGAACATCAGTTTCATGCAACTGACCTTGTAGAACAGTGTTCAGATAACCCTGTCATGTTCCAACCAGTGTTGTTTTTGGCAGCCATCTTAGATTTAGTCTTAGATTTCGTCTTCAGGACAAAAACTGTTATTACTTTTAGCCACATTTTAGTCATTACGATATGTGATAGTTTTAGTCGGTTTTAATCGACTAAAACACAAATAGAGTTTAGTCAGTTTTATGTTGTACTTTAAAAAAAAGAATGCTAACCTTTACAATTTTGAATAACAACCAAATTCTTTAACAGACTGACAGCACATGCCTAGATACTACAATTGCTGAAGATAAAATACTGTCATGCAGTTCATCATTGCTGTTGGGCAGAAAACTGATTTCTAGAATTCAAATAAACTTTTTATTTATAAATGAATGCCCTTCTTTATAAAAAATGTCCAACAAAACTTGTAAGAATGGCAGATCTAGTTCAACTCATCATTTTGGTTAAAATAGCAGATAGACAAGCTGACAAAATGTACAATAAAGTAATGGTTTTAAACATACAAGGTTTCCATCCAAATGCAAACACTTCCTGATCTACTATGAATTATGTATTAAACACAGATCAATAAAATCTTCATTGCTCCACAGAGGAGATCAGCCACATATAGTTTATTAAGTAGTGAGAGCAGGAAGAGCCATACTGCTGAGAGCGAAGCATCAGTGTGGAGCATAAAGCGCAGACTATGTCAAGCACAGCTTGAAGAGCAGAATTTGTCAGAGTTGAGCGCGGACCATTCCAGCCAAAGAAAACTCACACCCGTTACTCTTCATGTTTTTGTCATTAAAGATCCATCGTTAGCTCCTCAGTCTCGTTATCATCATGAAAAAAAAGAAGCATCAACAAAAGAATTTTGTCATCGTTTAAGAAAACAACACTGGTTACAACATCATAGGCCGTCCTACATCAGTGTCTGACCTCTGGATGACTGTTTAAAGATTCCCAAAAAAACCACCCTACAGCATGTGGAAAGCTATCAGACGAGTTTCACATATTATCCATATGAATTCAAGACGAGATCACACTCCAAATCATGGGGATGGAGGGCAATGAGTGAATACGTTTGGCCATATTTAGGTTATGCTAAGAACAGAGTATTGAAATGTAATATACCTTTATGTGGCTTGTTTTTCCAGCTGAAGAATCGGGGAAAAACCAACTACTGTTTCGACTATAACCCTGGTGATGAGGTGATGGAAGGCCATAGAGTCATCCTTTATCCATGTCATGGCATGGGCCAGAACCAGGTAAGGGGTGCCACAGGTTTCTGATGCAAAACCACTTACCTTTAGCACTTTATGATTAGTTTATTCTACTGTAGAGTGGAGCCTTATGCTAATTATCTATTGTCATAGCTACAAATTCATGAGAAACATCCACACGCTTTGCTATAGAGTTTGGTAAGTATGAATTTGGATTAAATTGAGAATGCAGACCTGGGTTTCCAGCTATATTAGGTATTGATATGGTATATAGCAATTTGCTGGTGGCCCTAGTGCTGCTGTTAAACTGCAGCCAGCACTCCTATCTAGGGGTGTGCAAAATAATCGTCATGATGATGCATCGTGATTCTAATTTTCGTGATCTACTGCATCGATTCTTGAGGCCAAGTATCGATTATTAATTAAAAAAAAATTAATAAACAAAATTGCATGAATGGTTTGCGAACATCAGCCAAAAACAAGTGGAATACAACTTACAGTCCAGTAGATGTCGCTGCGGATGTGTTGACGCACGCTGCCTTGTGTCACAAGCATTTCTGGCCGCGAGATACTGCACCGAGTCATTCAAAAACAAAACATGGAGGAGAAAATATTGCAATGCATCCCAATAATTCAAGTATCGTGATGCATCGTGATAGAATCGCATCGTGGCCTGTGAATCGTGATTCGAATTGAATCGTGACTTCTTTGGCAATACCCACCCCTACTCCTATCGCACTAAACTGAGAAACAGTCTGCTGGGGAAAATCTCTCATGATTAACTATTGTGCTTTTTGAAGTATAACATTATGTGTTTTCTTTAAAATTTTAGTATTTAAATTCATTTCTATTCAAACATTACTGTTATTGTTAAGATAAAGTTCTGAAGATTTTATTCCTCGTAGTCCTGGATATATGCCGTCATCAGCTCTTTCTTTGAACCATTTTCTCTCACCTGTACCTTGAATTAGGCACTCGCTCATTTTCAGCTTAAACCATTATCTTCCATACACGGTGGAAAGCGTTTATAGTTGCTTTTTCTAAAGATCTTTAATCAATGAACTTACCTATCCCGGGTTGCATAATATGTCTGCAGTGTTGATCCAAAGAGGGGGAAAAAGTCAGTTTCCAAATCACTGTTTCTCTGTCATTTGTCCGTAAACCAGGAAGAGCTGTGAGGTTTAGCTTTTCTGCCAGGAACCTCCTTAATATTGTCTATGCAGAAAACTGCTTTCGTAGTTGTTGTATTGTCAGCCTTTTTGGGAGTGCCCTGCATTCTTACCTTCTTCATTCTCAGTCTGTAACCAGTAATGCTGGTTTTGATCTCCACAAACAAACTCACACAGGGTCATTCTCTTGCACTTTTAATTGTGGCTTTTTAAAATGTTTTATTTTATTTATCATGCATGTATGATGGCTTCTTCTTGCAGTTTTTCGAATATTCTGTGGATGGGGAAATCTGTTATAATACAAGAGAACCTGCTGGATGTGTGGTGGGTGACAACATCCGCACTTACCTGACTGTGCAGCTTTGCAAGAACCGAGGAGAACCTGTCCCCATGGACCAGAAGTTTGTCCTCCGAAAGGTATTCCTGAACCATTTTGTGTTTGTACTGCCTAACCTAATAAACAAATGAAATAAAAGACTTTGGTGACAAGAAAGACACATCAGAACTATACAGATTTGTAATAAATGCTGTATTTCAGCTGATAAAACATTTATGTCCGGTATGGTTTTGGGAAGAACAGTGAGCTGTGTGTTCACCATGCAGTGCAGGAGTTTCTTCACCATGTTCTGAATGCAGCAACAGGATGCCAGGGTCTGTAGCACAGCCATGCCATCTAAATGTAAATACATCTAAAAAGATGAAATGCATGTAGCTAGGGTAAAAGATGCTGGGAACTGCAGAATTGAAAAAATATAACCAGAGACATTAATGCATCCCAGGAATAGGTTTGCTGAGTTTGCATTTCACCTGGGCCCCACTGGGTTATTCTCTGTTCCCCTCCCCTTATTTTAATGTTGTGCAAAGATGCATCATTTAACTACATTTTGGCCACATGAGTAATTAAGAATCATTTTGTTATAGATGTAAATTAGTTTGCAAATGCTTTTCCAAATGATTGTTTCCAGGATGGGAGTCTGTTCCACGTCCAGAGCCGGAAGTGTGTTGAAGCAGTGGATCAGACGGATAATGGGACACCAGCCCCGGCTCTGCAGCCCTGCTCTGACATCTCACGCCAAAAGTGGTTCTTTGAGGAGAAACTGTAAATCCTGAACATACGTTGAATATCTCAGCACTTATGGATGCCTCTGATCCCCCTTCCTCATCAGACGTTCTCGCATTTCATGTAGAGACAGTAAAGTTAATACTTTCCAAAGCACTGTGTGCAAAAATGGATATCATGAATTCTGATTACCTGTCAAAGGGAAAACTTTGAGCTCAGTTATCATCTAAGCTACAGATGGAGGGGGCTTTTGTTTTTATTTTAATGCCGTTGCATTTCTTTTTTAAAAGAAAGAAACAGTTTAAGCTCCCTTTGATTTTTGCGAACTGGGATAAGGACACACAAGCATGTGTTGATCTGACAGAAAACAGATATTTATGAATCTGTCAAAAGAATCTCTCCTGAACAGGTGGCTGGACTGAGAGATTTTCCAAGATCATTTTGTTCTTGATATTTAAATGTTCTCCTGTAGAGGGGGCTAACGCTCCTCTCCCCTCTATGTTTGATCCTGTCAGCATCTCTCTGTCATTTGACAGTGGAACTAATAATATTCAGGACTTATAATGGGATCTTTTTTAAAAATGGACTGCTGTATGCTTTTTCATAATAGGAAGAAAAAAAAAATCATAATTCACAGACATCATGCTGGTGTGCAATCACGACACATTACTACTGATAACCTGGGAAAACCACACTGTTACTCTGCTGTGATTCCATTGATTTTCCAATTTAGCTGACATGAAATAGCGTTGGTCACTTATAAACAATTTCTCTATTAGGTTTCCTTATAATCATCATTTACATTGAATTTCATACTAGTTTTGGGCTTTTAAACATTTATTTATACAGTTCTTTTATTAGAGTGGACCATAATATAACATGTAACTTCAGAATTTTTTTAAAACAAGAATTAAACTGAACGCATTGTGAGCCAAAAGTATATTTTTACACAAACTTAAATTGATAGATGCAACATCAGTTGATGTTTGGCTAAATGTCCCTTAGTAACAAAAATTATTTACTTTTTTGCAGCAACCAACAAGATTTTTGCAAATGTAGCGATCGTATTAAACCGCTGCTCTCATCAGTAATCTTAAGAGCGCTTGTAAATGTGTTTGTTACAGTACCTCCCATGAACCTGGTTTTTAATCATAGTCCATACATTTTCAATAGGGTTGAGGTTTGGGCTGTTGAAGAAGCTTAACAGTCACATGTTTTAATCCCTTCTAAAACCAGGTTTGATGTTCGCAATGGATTTTTCCCCTTTATGAGCTGCATCTCCACAGCTCTATCAAATAAGTACTGTATGAGCAAGGTGAAGTTGCAAATGACCCGTACTATGACGTCACCAACATATTTCACATTACTTTGACCCTCTGGGTTTGTATCTTGAAATTTTGACCAAAAAACTCAATATTTATCCTATTTGAAAAAAAGAAGATATTTAAATCGCCCTTGTGGGCTGCTGCAAATTTCATTCAAGCTGGACGTTGTTGACTCCTGGATCTTTCATCTCTTGACTGGTTGGATTATAAGATATTCATGGATTGTTTCAGAACAAACCAATTAGAAAACATTTTAATGATTTATATTGGTGAAAGTTGAATACATTTTTCTTTTTTGTTAAATTTGATCACAAAAAAATCTAAAATTTTGCCATATCATGGATTTCTTACCCTAAACCCTCATGTCAGTCTTGTCTAAACTGTGCAACATTTGATTAAAGGCCAGCCCATGGTTGGAAACCAAGCAGGTGAATAGAACATACCCAAGAAAATAGTAAAAATTCAGTCGGAATGTTAATGCCAACAAAAGGGTGTGATGGGAGGAGTATTTTTCCCAGATAATATAGGGTAAATATGTGAAGGCAAGATAAAATATGATGTAAATTCTAGCTTAATACATATTATAATTGACTGCTATTGAATTATTTCAGAGGCTTTTTTTCCCCTTCAAAGTAGCCAACCATAAAGTATTGTTTTTTTTTTGTTGTTGTGACTTTGTCACTTCTTTTTATCCCATAAGGCCTTTTTCATTTTGATGATATTTCTTTCAGCAGTAGTTTGTTAATATTGATGCATACCTAAAGATAATTCAAGGAAAAAAAATGCACACGCTGAAAGCAGAGACTAAAAATACAGAATATTACACGATCTACAGAATTCCTTCTAATAGAAAGGCACTAGGAAAAGAAAGTCTTGAGTTGCTTCCAGACTTTTGGCCTTCAGTGTAATCATGCTTTTGAGGAAAATTCTCAGTAAAATCCAAACTTGTGTGTTTTATAATGATCTCCCTTTTAAAGAACCGTTTGAATCTGACTTTAAAAACCCAAATAATTGGATTATTTTTTGGTATGTGTAATACAACCTTCTCTCTATTCATTGGCTGACAAAATGACCTTAAATCATATCATTCTCTTCAGAATTCTCTTAAATGAGACAGCTGATATTGATTGTGCATAAAAAAGGACAAACTGAAACTGGAGTAGGGATATTATCTTCTAACTCACCTATTTGTGCCTTTATATATTAAATAAAAACATTTTCTCTATAAAATCTAACATCAGGGCAGGTAAATGCCTTAATATGTTTTTCCCATTCTGAGATTAATCAGTGTAGTTTTGAATGTAACAAGCTGGCTGTGCTCCAAACAATTGTACAGGCATGTGGTCTATCCATTGAGAGGATTTTACGCTGGTGGGTCGTACTGATCTGAACATTGACGCTGCCTCGGCACTCATCCATCAGAATAGACACCTAGTCCAAGCTGGAGTCCTCGTTACTTGTGTGGCTCTCCCTCAGGCCATGCAGGGGAAAACAGCAGAAGACTAGACAGTTGTTGGTGTCTCCAGAGTGCCGCCATGCCAGATGGCTTCCTGATTGATTTTCTGGGCTGCTCCCAATTCTTTATCACATTTTTTCCCTCTCTCTGTATGTCAGTCTTTATATTTTCACCTGTATACACACATTTTGAAGTATGATTTTAAAAAGAAGAAAGAACAGGAGTAGGTTTTTGATTATAGAGCTGCATGAATGAAGCAATCTGTGACCCCTTCCATACCATTAACCTTCACAGGCTCCTTCCCCATCAGCCTGAAAAGACTGCTGTTGGAAACTAATGGTAAGAGACCATCATGCTGAAAAAAGATTTTCGATATTGATTCAGAGTGTTTGCTTACAAGACTCTAAATGGAAAGCAGTTTTCAAAGCACTAACTCTGGGAACTGAGCTGGATGACAACCCCCTCATTTGCCAAATGAAATGAATGTACAGTAATGCATGCTGCTGTTGCAGGATGTTGATAACATCTGTATATTTGAGCCAACATTGTACAAGCCTAAAGATACAGCACTAGATATTTGCTACTATGCACTTACACTTGGAGGTTTATTTCACTAGGCAGAGCTTTGGAAGACTGGACTGTGAGATAGCTGTGTTGGGCTGGAGGGAAGCACAAAATAAGCACCAAGCTTATTGAAATATGGATGTAATTACTGGGCTTCAGTTCCCTGAAGTCCATAAGAAGGCTTTTTGTTAGGATTATGAGTAGTACACTGCTAAGTGCTAAGTGAAGTGGACCAAATGAGCAGTGGGGACGGTATATTGTTCATAATAGGAAGGCAGAAACATTTGTCTTTTGATTGTATGATTTGTGTGAGAGCTGCAACGGCCTGTAAGGGGCGATCAACCTCAATATGACCCTGGTTTTTAATCGATATGATCCACTGCTTGCATCCAGGTGATGTCTTTGTCCTAACTGCTCACCCTAATCTACAGAATTGGTGTTTATAAGGTTATACTGTAGCTAATCAAGGAAAATGTTTGTTGATAATTTTTTTACTTTTAATAAGAAGCATTAAAACATAGTGATCTTTAATGTTTCCCCTTCTTCTCTTGGCTTTATCGCTCCTGTAATTGATTTAATTACACCATCATATACATTTAAAAAGCATTATTTATTGTACCTAGAGTGCCATGTGTTTTCTAACCATGTCAGTGTTGTGTTTTTTCATATTTGATTTGGTGAGTTGTGCTGTTTGGGATCGAATCTCTATGATATAGCGTTTTCATTGTTTAGTGGATCAACCAAACCTGTGGTATAAACTTTCAGCAGATGTTCCATTAATTGTTGGAGCACATTGGACCAAATTATGTTTCATAAAGGTTTTTATTTATAATGAAAAAAACTGGTCGTGGAGATGTTTCTTTTATTTCACTACTTCATATGCAATAATCCCTGGTAAACATGTTTAATGCCTCAAAATAATTCATCATACATTTCAGTATAAACTGAAAAAATGTAGAAATAGTCACAATCAGTGGCACAGCTTTGAATGGTAGTACAATAAATAAAATACACTTAACAATTTAACTTATGCTTTGTTTATATATATTTTTTTGTCATAGGCAGTTTTGGTGGTTACTGTAACTTCCTGTTTCTGGGGGTTTTAAAATAACCATGAACCAGGGGCATATGAGCACATCCACTGCAGGACGCTTTTATCGACTCTGTCAACTCATACTTGAGTTTACCACAATTATTTTAGAATATTTTCTATACTTAGTTTATTGTAAGCAAATTACGCTATTTCATTTTGATCTCTTAGTTTATAGAGACTATTTTATGTCTCATAAAACCATATGATAGGAAAATACTTTAAGAAGAAAGAAAGTAATATGCAGTGAGGTATGTTTAGGTGTAGGAATTCATAAAAAATATGTAGCAGAGATTATGCTACTACAACTATGAATTTACTTAAAGGGATTTGTCGTGGGGAAAAGTATTCCACTATTCATCCTAGTTAAATAAACGGAGATTGACAAATTTCGCTCACTCAGCACATTTATTCATATCTTTGCAAAGAGAGAACAGTTCATCATACAGCCCTAATGGCACAGCATTCTGCTCTGTTCTAATCTGGACAGCGTTCGTTCCTCCTTACTTACAACAATGGAAATCAGTCAGAGTTATAACAAATTACACACACTTTGGTTAACAGTAACATGTTATGAATAAACCTTGAGAAAGAACCTGATTTGTTATGAGAAGAAGCTATGTCTGGTCTACAAACACCAGCCTGTAAAGAATTGTGTGGCCTTGAGAGAGAAACAGACTGAGTGAAAATTTTTATAGTGAGTAAATAGGATAAATTAATATATAATAGAAGAAAGATACAAATTTTCCAACAACAGATTTTATTCATCTTTACATCGATAGTTAACATCTATTATTAACTCTACCACATTTTTACTGAGCTGTGGCTTATTCCATTTTATTTTACAGTTATATATTGTGTTCTTTTTGAGTATGCAGAAGTTACATATCAACTTGGGAATGCAAAACCTTTCTATGGTAAAATATTTATAAATTTCTGTTTGTCCTTATTCTTGAACAGTGACTCATTTGCCTCCACAGTGATTTAAAAGCACTAATTTAACCAGTATTTAGCTGCTGAAGATACGATTCAAAATGCTCAGGGGATAATGAGAGAGGGAAAGGGGAGCTGGATTAGGTGGGGGGGCTACGATTTTCCATCCATATCCGATTAGATTGGTCACCAGCTGCTCAATGAGATGGTGAGACA